GATTGTAATTTGCTTAGCTAAATGAATTGTGTGGTTCAGTCCCTGAGCCCATTGTGTGCCTCTGTAACCCTTTCCACTACCGCCCACACGATGGGTATGGGGTGCATAATAAATGAACTAAACTATCTATAATACCGAACAAATGTATAATGCATTAAGCATTGTAGGTGCAGATAGACTATATATATTCCTGCGTATCTTCTAACTGCTCAGATATATTAGCAACAAAAAAAAAAAAAAAAAAAGTTGAGCCTTACCTACACAGGAGCGACATACTCACGCCGCCGCTGCTTCCTGACGACTGGCGGGGTCGCGGTCAGTGAGCGGTGACCGTCCAACCGACCCCAGAGACTCCCGGCCTAAAATTATTTGAACGCCATATTGAAATTCCTAGTGTATAGCGCCAGGAGTGTGTGTAAATTAATATTTATATGCATTATAGTCCTTTCTAAAGTAATTTATAGATTTGAATATCATATCATGTCTAACAAACGAATTATTTAAGTTAATATTTTAATTATGCCCGATGCAAGTCTCATCGCGCATAAGATTCGTCAGCGGATTTTTTATTTTTTTTATTTATATATAAAAATATTTTTATATAAAAAGAGTTCTTAAATTCTTGTAAAGCCACTAGCATGCATAGCGTTTTGGGCAAGTCCTTAATTCTAATTTTTACCTCGGAAAACGACCTGCCAAATCGTTTAACAACCTATTCTCTGCCGGGTGAACAGTTAAGGATCGTCGCCCGGCCAATCCTTCCCGCCAACAGGTCAAAGCGCTGGCGAAGAGCCGGGCGCGCGAATTTTGAAACCTGAATAACCTAGCTCAACCCAATCTTACGTAACCCAAGTCAAACCAATCTAATCCAACCGAACAACCAATGCAGCCCTTCTCAGTACAACTACATTCCCCCCATAACACAGTCTAACCTTAATAACATAATCTAATACAGCCTAGCATAACAATACATCCGGTTTTAAAACAGAACACCAACTTGTATACTGTATTAGTTTTTAAAACAGAAAACCAACTTGTATATTGTTTGTTGACCAACTTGTATATTGGCCATTTTCTACCATGCATGTTCCCCCCCCTTTTTTATCTTTTATTTGTTTTCTTTCAACGCAAATTATACTTTAATTAAGCTCAATTACTGTTAAGTTTTAGTTCAAGTGTTTTTTTTTCCACCTCACCTTGACTAGTGCTTTAGGTATTGTATGTACTAGCTCTACCTATAATAGGATAGGAAGCCGGCGGCTTGTCAAATGTCCCCTATTTGCCCTGGTGAGATTATCGAGCAATGTTTTGGCATTTACGGCTTCGGCGGGTATGCGTTTCCACAACTTTATAATTCAATGGGTAAAAACATATATTTTTCCATCCTTCAGTGTGGCTTGTTGAGCTCGAAACCGTTGCTCCTTGTTCGTCTTACATCTAGCCTTTTGAAGAAGTGTTCTGGGTCAATATCTTCCAAATTGTTCAGTAATTTAAAAGTTTTGCTGAGAGCAGCCCTGTCATGTCTGGTCCCTGTGGCCCTCAACCGTTCCTGGTATGAAAGTTGACTTAGTTCGGAAAAGATTTTAGTCGCCCGGTGTTGAACTTTCTCCAAAGTAGGTATGTCTAAAGATGAGGTCTCAATGCGTGGATATAACAATCCAAGTGGAAGCACACCAGAGATTTTATACAGTTGTATAACTACCTTTTCCTTAGTCAAAATTTCGTTTGACTATTCCTAGGATTTGGTTTATTTTTATAACTGCAGCTTCCACTTGTACAACTATCAGTGATTGGAATCACTGAGTTGCTTAACATTAATATCCCAAATTAGCCCAACTTGCTTTTAAATTAGCTCAAAAAGTAGCAAGTAGCGAAATTAAAAATTTGGGAGCGCGGGGCTCTCAAAAGTAGCCCAATTCGCTACTTGTAGCCCAATCTGGCATCCCTGGCTGGGACACGACCCTACTCCTGTTTCACAATTTATTTACCTGCCTCTACACCCTTTATATTACTTTTTATTGTGCAGTGGGTAGCGTTATTATTTATTTGTAATCATCGTTGCTTATGTGATTTCAATCAATTAACTTAGATTGAAATTTGTATGTAACTCCATGATGGAACGCTCGTCCAATAAAGATTTTTTTATATAAAACAACATATTATTTTTTATATATTGAAAAATTTGGAAATAAAAATATTATGTTTGAGTTACGTATTTAGGGTCTTGTATAAATATTTTACTCTCGTATTCCGTTTCTGGCCAGCAGCCTAGTGATGTGGATCACTCACACAACCGGCGCCATTTTTAAATACCAAACTATGCTCATTTCTTATATAAATTAGGCCTAAGACTTTAATAATTAATTTATCAAGTACTATAATTTGTATATTTTAGTTATTATGGAGTAAAAATGTATATACAGTATGATGATTGGAAATATATGTCTTCAATATATTTAAAATGTGAGATATATTAGGTCAGATGTATCCTTCAAGTTGGGGTCCGTCTAATTACCACAAGCTACACAAGCTTCCTGGCAATACGTTAGTAATGAATAAATATGATATGTTAGGTTAGGCTGACCTAACCTAACCTAACTTAACCTAACCTAACCTAACTTAACCTATCCTAACTTAACCTAACCTAACCTAACTTAACCAAACCAAACCTAACCTAACCTAACCGAAGCTTGGATCGTCGACTTGATTTGGCGTCACCAGCTTTTTATTTTCGTCTAATTTCTTTATAAAAAGATACTTTTTCAGATTTAAATTATGTTTTTTCGTGTTGTACATTCAGCACCAACATTATAATGAGTAAATATATCATATTTATCCATTACTAACGTATTGCCAGGAAGCTTTGTGAAGCTTGTGTAGCTTGTGGTAGCTTGTGGTAATTAGACGGACCCAAAGACATTCAAACATGTATTTTCTGAAGAGAAGGTCTTCATGCTTAGATACAATAATCCAAGCAGGGTTGTGCCAGAGATTTATGGTTGAATAACTACTTTTCCCCTAGATCAAAATTACATCTGACTATTCCTAAGATCTTTTTTTTTAACTGCAGCTCCCACTTGTACAACTTTCAGCAATTTGTATATTTGAACTCCAACATCTCTTTCTTTATCAGTCTGCTGCAAGATAATAATGTTGATTTGGTAATTGCTTGCAATGTGCATGACCCATATGCAAGTTTTCAACATTAAAAATCATCTGCCAATATTCCGACCACTTATGGAGTTGTGTGGACAGAACCAAGATGAAAGTCACCAAAACCTTTAATTCAGGGTCCCTAAACACAAAACAGGCATCTTTTGGGGCATCCAACCGGGCAGAAAGCTGCAAGTGCTGAAGGTGGACAAAATGAACTAAGTCGGCAGCTGCCCCAATAAGCTTGCACTTCATTTGTAGGGGTCAGAGAGAAGAGCCACATGAGAGGAATAAACTACACAGGATCCAGAGTCATAGGTGTTACTGACCCAAAAGGTAGCATGGCAGAGATAGAAAGAATGATTGTCACTCCATGGCACAGACAATGAACAGCCCTCAAACTTGCACAAGGAGAATTGGGGTTCGGAGGGGATATCCATAGGCCTTATCAAAATCTTCAGGGAATTACCATTGCAGGGGCCCAAGGGACTGACAAAACAAGACATCATGTCCCTAGTGCAAATGGCACTAGGGACATTTGAAGGAATTATAAAAAGAAGACTGACACAACCTAGTTGATACCTGATCCTGATACCTTCAGGGAGCCACAAGGAGTTGACCCAGAAAATCCCAATATAACTGTTCAGTATTTCATCTGAAATGTTGTGCTCTTCCATTTACTGCACTCATAAACAAGCTCTACATTATTCATGGCAACAAATATTTTTGTTAAAGCAGTGACTGGTCAGGTTTTTTTTAGTCCTTTCATCCTCAAGGGCTTCACTATGCACAAGTCTTCTTCAATACAGTACTTAGTAATGACATTTGGGAGATTATGGCAAAGAGAATTGTTAGAACTGAATGTGATGTGTAGTATTTAGTATTACCTACATTCAGTTAACATTATATCATTTCTCTCATTTTTATTTACCTTCTACAGTATTTACACCTGGAATTCATAATGTTGTCAGTGTTGTTTTTTGGTAAATACTGCACAGTACAGTAAATAAAGCAAAGAAACACAATGGCTTCCTTACTCCAGAAAACTATAACAGAGATGATTGGGGAAAAACCCATTCACTGCAGGTTTAGTTATGACCATCTTAACAACAATGTAAACCCTAGGCAAAGTAATGCACTGAGACGGTGGGGCTCTTACTCGGGAGATTGGCCCTCTCCACCTCGATTTAAATACCAGGCCTTTCCAGCGGGAGGTCGAGTAACTATCCACTCTGCCAAGAGAGCTCCCATGATCTCATGGAACACAGGACTAATAGAATAAAGAGGGCCTCTGGGCAACTGTCCAGTGTGTCCATGCCTTAAGATGCCACTGGGTTTAGTACCTTCCACTTGTCAAGAGGGAGTTTCTCAAAAGGAGAATGATCTTCAATTTCTCAGAGACAGTGCTCACACCCCTTTAACTTAAACTGTTTGTTGTTCTGGCTGTGATAATAAACTTTAAAATTGTACAATACTTTATGGTCTTCATTAAATTGTTATTTTAATGATGCATACAATTTTATGTAACATGCGCTAATTTAATATTTTATATCATTAAATTCTTGATACTGAAATGAATACAATTTTTCTTAATCAAATACTTTGTTGCTTGGCAAAACAGTATGTTTCTGGGAAGGTGTTTCCTATATAGAAGTGAGATTGTACTGTCCCTTCTTTACCCAAGAAATTTAGCAGATTTAAATATTAGTTATGGGAATGGTAACCATTCGGAAACACCAATTCTCCAATATAAAATGTGTCCAACTCATTTCATATTACCTTTACTGAGCCTCACATTAATTATTAGGTTTAATACTAATCTAAAAATATTATTAATAAAATAGTCATTAAAATATGTTGAAAAATATATTTAACAAATGTACAATGGAACAATTCTTCTAAGTGTTCCCTATTAATGTGTTTCAAAACAGCTTCAGATGACAAGTTTAGACATATGTTACCTGTAACATTTCTATTTTATATTAGAACTCCATCCATATTTACATATTTATATAATTATATACAATCAATATCAAACATGTAAATATAAAGCTCCCACACAGGAATTGGAAAATATTAAGTTTAACACTGCTATCTATATTTTCTCAATACTAGTATTGTATGTAAATAATCTTGAAATATTCGATACTTCTGCTTCTCTAATACAGTTCAGTTTTCCTCAAGTTCTATGATCTTTCCTGATGAGCACAGATAGTATGTGAAGGATGCAAATGAATTTCATGTGAATGTATTGTGTGAGCAGGAACATGATGAGCTGATATATGGTGAGTTGATATATGATGAGTTGGTACATGGTGAGTTGATACATGGTTAGCTGGAATATGGTGAGCTGGAATATGATGAGCTGATATCTCATGTGTGGATATTTCATGAGCTGATACATTATGTGTGGATATTTCATGAGCTGATATATCATGTGTTGACATTTCATGAGATGTTATCTCATGGGTTATCTGATGAGCTGATACTTCATGAGTTAATACATCATGATTTGATACCTCGTGGGTTAACACCTCGTGGGCTGGTGCCTGAGCCGATACCTCATGAACTGCTAAATCATGAGCCGATACTTCGTGAATTAATAGGTCTCCATCGCAGTTGTTATTTTCAGGATGAAGCATCGTCTGGTGATTGACAGGTCGTGCCGTTATAAGCCGTCGCCGTGCCCCCTTCTTCTTCTTTGCACAAATTATGGTTGTTGGATCCACTTTAGAAGAATCTCCTGAATGCTGACGCTTTAAGGTACTTGATATGGCCATGGCTACATTTGAATACTGGCCAAATGTTTGCAATGCATTTACTAAATCATCATCTTTTTGAATATCTTGAAAGTTTTTAAGAAATGTCTCTATAGGTTTTAGATAAATGTCTGGACTGGATTCTAACTTAAATAACAAATCATCAAATACTGTTTTTAGGCCTTCAGCACACTGACCTATAGCTTGTCCACATGAATCTTGTGAATGAAACTGCTCAACAATGTGCATCTGAGGCGAGTAACTTTGTTTATCCACTCGCTGGGTAACTTGAGGCATGGACAAAATATTTCCCTGCTCATTTTCCTCGCTGTTTTCATTTTGTGTCAGTCTAGGTCTTGGAGAACAAATTGCAATGATAACATTATCATCTTCAGTTTTCTCAATACTTGCACAGTGAGAATCATATTTCTCACAAAAAGGCTTTAAATGCCCTTGCAGTTCTAATAACATTTTCTTCCCAAATGATTTAGGATATTTGGGGCAAAATAATTTGTAGTAGAGTCTGGAAAAAAAATGACAATACAGTATATAGAAAACAGAATATTACAGGTATACATGAAACAATTATGAGTGTCAGACCACGGAGGAAAATTGAAACAGGAATTTCCTTAAGTACTTTCGTATATTAATACATCTTCAGAAGGAGTCAAGGAGAAGGAGTCAAAAGAAGGAGTCATCTTCTGAAGATGTATTAATATACGAAAGTACTTAAGGAAATTCCTGTTTCAATTTTCCTCCGTGGTCTGACACTGTCACGTTTTTAATCACATGTTTATTTTCGTGATATACACACATGAAACAATTATATATAGTACAGCATGTATCAACATACAGTACATGTGAATTGAAATATTATTATACTGTAGATATACTGTTAATGATACAATTTCTGACTGATTGCAACATTCTTAAACTTGTAGTACTGTAATTTTAAAATATATTAATTTCCACATCTGTCTAATTGTCTAAAAGTATATGACATTGTTGAAATAAATACGAGTCAAGAGCAAGCCAGATCATCATTATCCATACAGAAGATGTGATGTGCCCTAAACCGAGCCTAAAAACCCTACTTATCCATGCACTCTCTACCCTTACACCATCATTTGGTTCCTCCTGCTCCCATATACCCCCCTACTTATTCCTCCACTTCCATGTTATCTTACAGTTCCTAGTTCCTAATCCCACTCTAATATTATTCTTCTGTTTCATCTTCTCATACAATGAGTTTAATATACTTTCAGATAAATATCTATGGCATTATTTGAAAACCAGATATTTCATGTAAAAACTGTATAAATCCCATGATAATTTATCTCTTGAGATAAACATAGGTAGCAAAATGACATGATTTTAAAAATAGTGTTTTATTTAAATAATCAAGATAACAGCCCAAGATGTATCTACAATAAAAAACATGGTGTTTGCATCTCTGGCATTTGGTAGTAAAGTTACAGTATTTTATTACCAAATACTAGGTTGTATTAGTGTATTTGGTAGTAAAAACTACTATCAAATACCTTAATGATTGTTTATCTGTAGTCAATTTCAAGTGTTTTTATTCCCAAGTCTGGTGCCAGCTAGTCTTGTGGTAAATTAATGTGAAAGGCTGTTGCTTGGAAAGGCCTGCAGGTCTACGTACCAATTACAACTCTATTATCCAGCTCTTCCTTCAAGGACTTGCTCAATTACTTCTTGAACTCCTTTACCCGTGTTCCAGAAAAATTTCTTATATTTGGTAGAGAGGGTTGAAATGCTGCAGGCCTCTCATGTTCATACAGTCTTTTCATTTTGTGCCTTTGGCACCTCTACTCTTCATTAAGTCTATTCTGCATTTTCTACTCCCTATCTTTTGGTCCAGTAAGATATTTTATTGTGAATTGTTTGGATCTTAATTTCCTGTATCTACTACGTGCACAATGATTTTGGCCTCGCTTAGTATACAAAATGTTTTTGACACCTTTGTAAGTGCCACATATTCAGAAACTACAGCAAAATGAAAGTGTGGTAATGATGATAATTAAATTATTTTTTAAAATGTTTTGCTTTTTTGTTTTTTTTGTTTTTTTGAGATATATACAAGAGTTGTTACATTCTTGTACAGCCACTAGTACGCGTAGCGTTTTGGGCAGGTCCCTGGAATACGATCCCCGCCGCGAAGAATCGTTTTTTCATCCAAGTACACATTTTACTGTTGCGTTAAACAGAGGCTACAGTTAAGGAATTGCGCCCAGTAAATCCTCCCCGGCCAGGATACGAACCCATGACATAGCGCTCGCGGAACGCCAGGTGAGTGTCTTACCACTACACCACAGAGACTTTACTATGGTATATGTTCACTATGGTATATGCTGAACGTCTTATCCAAGTACTGAAACCAAACTGGGTTGCCGTTTAGAAAAGGCAACATATTCTAACAACACAGTTTTGCTACTCCTAAACCAAGTACAGCTGAATATTGCAAAATATACCCACAAAAGACTGATACTAAGCCACATGAAAAACTAATCATAAGCCTATTAACAGTCAACAACACATTTATGCTTCGTTCAACATAACACTGCGTGTACATGCAGTATGATCATCAGGAAAGTAGACAGGTATACTGTGTATGAATTATAGTCATCAGGTAGCCAGGTATATGAATATCAACCCATGCTAAATATTGTATTAACTACCATACCTGTTATGACAGGACTAGCTAGCCAACAGCATGATATTTGGGTTTCTTAGGAAAGATATAGATCTGGGCACTTAAGATCCTTGCTGACAGAACATATTATACTATTATATTATCTATTATTACTATTATATTATCAAAGCAATATTCTTTAAGTAGAAACGAACATCTTGCCTTAAATATTAGGCCTTAAAGGTTCACAAACCAGTTTTACTCACCGGTAACAAAACTGTTTATCGGGGCATTTTGATCTATCTGCTGCAACAAAAACATACTGGTCTCTATATTCTTCCTGGAGATCATGTTTGATTACTTCTAAGGCAGATAATGGAGTATGTCCTGCTTTGTACAGCTCTGTCAATTTTTGTACTGTTTCCTCGGACACATCTCTTTTTCGAAGAATTTCTGGTGACAGGAGCTTGTGGTTGTGCTTAAAGTCCAAGTACACACGAGTGGGAAACTCTTGTAAATATTCATCTGTTGACCTGTAAAGTTGCATTATTCCTGTTATGAAAATTAAACAATACACTCCCAAATTTAGATTTGTATTTGTTTCCAAATACAGTACACGGAAATCAGTATTTGCATTGATTAGCTCACATGGTTGCATATTTATACAGTACCGTATTTGTATCTAATAATTGTATTTGAAAGTGCACTTTCGAAAACACATCTGGCCCCCATCTGTGTTACCTCTCTCATCCAGTCAACAGTAAACAGAGGCTATAATTTCATGTAAAATCTGTTTAATATGTCTAGCACCATATATAAAATGTTTGGATCTAAACAGCCTGGTGATAAAAATTAGGTTCATTATCACCAGGCTGTTCCTAGTGATAATGATCCCAATCAGTCAGCAAGGAGGCCTGGTTGATGACCGGGCCGCGGGGACGCTAAGCCCTGGAAGCACCTCAAGGTAGGTGTTAGTAACCAGTCACAGTTTAAATCAGTTCATGGTTCTGTCAGGACCACAACAACTCGTGGGAAGAAAGACGAGCTACTGATAAGATATCCTGCAGTTGAGGGGGAGAAGGGAACTATCGGGAGAAGGCACCAAGCCATTACGACTATACAGCACTTGGAAGGGGATCGGGGAAAGGATTTGGGATAGGACGAGGAAAGGAATGGAGAAGGAGAAGGGTGAGTGGAACTGTAGTCTAAAATGTACATACAGTAGTGTACACCAGATGTGGTTTTTAGTAGAAAATGCCCTAATGACTTCTCTCTTATATCTGGTATTGCCTGCATGCACCACAAGAAATAGCCCTACAACAATCTTGCTAGCTCACTGGCTCAAATATCAGATGTCTTAGGAAATGTTTTAACATGCATTATTGTCCTCAGCAAGATGACTCCAATACTTACTGTGATAATTTACCACTTGCCATATGAGTTCTCTTCACTACAAGAAACATCTTTGCTGGACAACAAGTATTTTTCGAGGAAGCCTTCTTGTCAGCAGTTGGAGATCTTGAGTAAGTCCTATGTTGGCATCTCATGTCAATCTGACAAGAAAAGAAATCCACATGTCAGTTACTTAATTTAGAAATTGTACCTGTGGTCGGTCTCGAGCCCATTCTTGATGTGACGATGATGAACTAGTTACAAAATTCAGTGCACAAGATTGTAACTTGCTTAGCTAAATTGTGGGGTTCAGTCCCTGAGCCAATTATGTGCCTCTGTAACCTAATCCACTACCGTTCACAAGATGGGTATGGGGTGCATAATAAATGAACTAACTCGGTGATATATAATCAAAACTGATTATATGAGTGAAAAACTTTTAAAGTTGGATATACTGTAATTTGAAAGAAACAAAGCTTGAGAAACAGATCTTGCTAAAGAAAACTGAGAAAAAGAAGTTGAAAGATACATAGAAGAGTACCTATCACATTAATGAAGAACAAAACACAAGGAAAATTTGTTGGGTTATTAATGAAAAAGATGTACAGTATTTGGAATATGTGCAAGACAATTAAATGTTAATGAAGAACTGGGACAAAATGACAAAAATCTCCAGACATTATTATAATGGGGTTGCACATTTATATTTGTTTTAAAAACATAATTAAAACTAACATTTTAGAATTAATCAGCTTCCACTCACCCATTTTGCTTTGACCAGTAACATATGGTATATACTGTACAGTGCCAGACAATAATCCACTTACCCATCTTTTTTTTTTTTTTTTTTTTTTTTTTTTTTTTTGAGATATATACAAGAGTTGTTACATTCTTGTACAGCCACTAGTACGCGTAGCGTTTCGGGCAAGTCCTTAATCCTATGGTCCCTGGAATACGATCCCCTGCCGCGAAGAATCGTTTTTTCATCCAAGTACACATTTTACTGTTGCGTTAAACAGAGGCTACAGTTAAGGAATTGTGCCCAGTAAATCCTCCCCGGCCAGGATACGAACCCATGACATAGCGCTCGCGGAACGCCAGGCGAGTGTCTTACCACTACACCACGGAGACTAAGTATCTCTACCCTTACACCGTCAGGTAATGTACTAGTCTCCTCCTGGATAATTTTGTTCAGTATTTTACATAGAATGTGTGTTAATGATACTGGTCTAGAGTTTAGTACTTCTTTCCTACTGCCTTTCTTAAAATTTTCAGCTATATTTACTTTTTTTTTAAGATTTCCCAACAGCTTTCTGGTCTCTAGTGTATTACTGAAAGCCTTAATTAATGGGTAGCATAGTATTGTACACCTGTAGACATAGTGATATCTGGTCAGGCATTGCTGCTTTTGTCAAGATATTGAATGGAAACCTTATGGAAGAAATTAAATAAAATAAACATGGCAAAAGCATAAGGCATCTCTGCTGCGATACCAAATTAATATCACTGAATAATAATTAATAATTCAATAATTCATTGTGTCGAGGGACAGAAAGCCAGAGAGTATTCATACACGTTTGGCTTTTATCGAGGTCCCTCCTCCCCCCCTCAGGCCAAATTACTGACCTTGCCCAGGATGCAACCCCACAACAAGCTGACTAACTCCTGAGTACCTACTCACTGCTAGGTGAACAGAGGCATTAGGTGAAAGGAACTGTGTCCAACCATTTCTATCCCGCCCAGGATTCGAACCCGAAATTCTCGATTGTGCATCGAGAATGAACCTGACTGTACTACCGGGACCCTACATAACAATAAATAATAATACTACTTACTCTATATACATTTTGAGTCTTCTTGCCACCACATATTGGATAAGTCTTATCAACTCGCCAGGTCACGGCCGATGTTCTTTCCAAATCTTTTATCCACGATTTTGCTTCTGCTTTTGTTTTTATTTTCATCCGAATAGTAGCCTCAAATTTTGTGGCTGGCTCGGAGCTTTCTTCCTTTTCCGACTCTTTAAATTGGCAGATGCGGTATTCATACGCTTCTGGTAAAATTTGCTGTGAAAAATTTGAAACAAAAGTTGTAAAGTACTGTACATATTTTAGCCTTTTCTTTTGATAATACCTGAATTGCACAACTAGATACGTTTATATGACAACAATCAAGTATTCCGACGCTGGGGTACTTCAGGATATAAGCAGAATGGTTCAAAGAGTACAGATACAGGAAAGTATAACAGACATGGCATGAAATGAGAACAGTGGATGCTATGAGCCCAGGGGGAGTAATGAATCCATTAGATACAATGAGTACAGGCGGTGTAATAAGTAAAGTTTATGACATAGGGAGAGTAAAATGTACACAAGGTGTAATATATACAGGGTAAATAAGTACTGTACATGAGTAACAAGCAGAGATGGCATAACATGTACATGTGGAGCAATAATTAGAGATAGCATAAGTAGTAGTCATAGTCCCCGTGGCAGCAGTGGTAAAGCACTCGCCCGGCGCTTCGCGAGCGCTTTGGCGTGGATTCGTAACTTAGCCTAACCTAACTTAACCTAGCAAGGCGTATCACTTCCGCAAACACAACTGAAAATATTTGCTTGCTTGACCACCGAGTCGTCTCACGCGACGTATATCCACCTTAGTACGACTATACATAACGTCTCGAGTTAGAGCAAGTGTGAGGCTCAGGTTATACTACACAACATAACAGACTATATAGCGAATAATATAACATAAAACCTCCTGATCCGATAACGACCCTAATTAAATATTAGTAATAATACCATAGGAGCCTAAGTTAGAGTGACATTACAGGAGCCTAAGTTAGTATAGGAGGCTAAGTTAGAGTGACATTACAGGATATTGTCCAGTTTGGACAAATCAAATGAGATAAAAGCAGGTCAAAACAGGGATAAGTAGTGGGTGAGCCACCTTGAGGAGCGGGTAATTAGCCAGTGGCTGAGCCATGTCTGGTCATGAGGCGACGACGAGGACGAGAACGACGAGGGCAGCGACGACGACCCGGGTCGTCCAGGGGGCCCACGACCACCCCGGGGCCCTCCCTCCCCACCACCCAAGGTTCCCACACTCACCAGTGTGGTCGTTTCGTACACCAACCAAACTCTGTTTTTTTGTGTTTTAAAAGCGGGTATGTTGCTAGGTTGGGATGTATTATGTTAGGTTACATTGTTGTATAGATTGTATTTCAGTCGGGTGGGTTGGGTTGGGGTTTTGAAGGTTTCAAAATCATTTTAAGTTTCAAATTTGTCTGGTGTACGATGTGACCTGTACACTCTCCCTCCCCCCACTAACCTTGTCATAATCACCATAACAATGCTTTTATTTATACTATAAACTTTATATTGTACATGTTAAAATGGCTAGATATCTAGATAAAGTCATTGTTTATTATATAAAACAGTTACACACGGCGTTTAGTGCATTTTAATTACCAGAATAAAAATTCAACAAATTCTAAATGACTCGAAATATTCTAATCTTTTTTTTTTACAGTTTCAAATATGCATTAAGTGAAAATCCAAGTGAATGAAGCTTGCATTCTTTAAGTACACTTAATTATAACCCCTTGGTCACTATGTTCCAATATATAATAATAACTAACAAATAATCCTAATATTATTAATAATATTGCTGTTACTGTGTAAATTATTATTATTGTGGTTAATTATTATTGATAATCATTATTACATAAATATAAAGAGGTAAACTATTATTATAAATAGAGTGTAGAGAACAGTTGTTGACATAACATGAGAGGGAGAACCCCAGTGTGTGAAGTGTCAACACTGTGACAACAGCTGGCACCTCCCAGCACCTCATACAACATCAGTCATACACCAACAACATACACCACCACTACAACAGTTGTACACATCACAACAACTACAACAGTTATACACGTAACAACACCACCAATAGTAATACACATCACAACAACTACAGTTATACACATCACAGCAACAACAAGAGAAGTTATACACATCACAACAACAGTTATACACAACAACAACAGCAGTCATACACATAACAACAACAACAGTTATACACATCACGCCAACAACAACAACAGTTATACACATCACAACAACAGTTATACACATCACGCCAACAACAACAACAGTTATACACATCACACCAACAACAACAACAGTTATACACATCACAACAACAGTTATACACATCACGCCAACAACAACAACAGTTATACACATCACACCACCAACAACAACAGTTATACACATCACAACAACAGTTATACACATCACACCAACAACAACAGTTATACACATCACAACAACAACAACAACAGTTATACACATCACAACAACATTTATACACATAACAACAACAGTTATACACATCACATCACAACAACAACAGTTATACACATCACAACAACAGTTATATACATCACATCACAACAACAACAGTTATACACATCACAACAACAACAGTTATACACATCACAACAACAACAGTTATACACATCACAACAACAACAGTTATACACATCACATCACAACAACAACAGTTATACACATCACAACAACAACAGTTATACACATCACAACAACAAAGAATACAACCATAGTGGAATACCCAAGACTTAAGTCCATTAATCATTAGATCTTCTGTCTCTGAAGAAAGGCTTTGCCGTCTCAGTAGTGACAGCTGTCTGTCACAAGCTACGTTATTAAGGACAGGAATGGGAGCTCCACTAACTAGCTATCCCGAACTCCAGGTTGTTATGTGACTAGTTATGCTGTATTCCAGGTTATGTATAAAATTTTAAATTAAATTAGCCATGATACATGCATTTGTCACAAAATTTTGTCGTCCTGTTTCATTCTTAGATTTTCCAGAAGCATTGCACTGATGGAATTCGTGTTAATGATGAATTAGTGTTAGACGTGTGTAGTCTTAAGTGTAGCTTCTTAAGTTTTTAGAAATAATTCACTAACATACATATTCTTTCCTTTACAGAAAATCTTACCTAGTGCATACAAATATAATATCAATGGGTTTGCTGACCTGAATGAGACTGGACAAAATTATTTAAACAAATGTAATTTTAGGACAAGTTTTCAGCTGAACCTTAAAAATAAATTAGAAGTTAAATTGTGGATAAAAGACTTTGAGAAGACATGTGGCATGAAGTGGCAAGTTAGCAAGACTTATCTTGGTTGGGGAAGCAGAGGAAATGTTAATGTTTATCAGGTGAGTTTTGTAATACCCTGTGCAGCTATTGCAAAATATACTGTATGTATAAATATCTGCCCGAAACGCTTTGCGTAATAGTGGCTTTAGGCATTGTATGTACTAGCTCTATCTATAAACCTATCAATTTTTAAAAAAATCTCTTGTATGTACCTTACCTGAATAAACATTTATTTATTATTTATTTATAATTATTTGCATAAGAATTTTGTAATAAGTGTTCACAGTTGCTTATGTTGCGAACATTACATTATAATACTAACTCGGCATTAGTTAATGTTTTTTCTGTCAAATTCCTAGCATTTAGCAAAAGCAGCCCCCGGTGTTTTTGGGGCGTCAAGAGGACCAGTGTGCTCTGGGGTTCTTTAGTAGCTTTGCTTCGTTTTCTAGTCTTGGTGGTCCCAGCTTCTGAGGGTATACTCATTGATACTCTTGGGTGATTTCTGTGGGAACTCCCTCTGCACTATCAGCTCTGGCCTGCTGTTTTTGGACTGGATGCTCAGCTATTCCTGGTTGTGTGTGTGTGTGGCTGTTCCCAAGCTATGTGCCTGGATATTTCCAAGCTATGTTCTTATATATTGTCATGTGAGGAGGGGAAATGCCAGGATTTAGGCACTGGTCCTCGGTAGGCTTTTAATGACTCAAGGTCCTGGTGTGACTTAATAGGTGTGGAGGTAACCAAAGCTGCTGGCAACAGGGACCCACTGGGGACCCAACAAAAAAGAGGCAATTCATTACATTCAATCTGTTTTATTCTGACTTGAATTTGATTTTCCAGTACTTCATAGGTTTTTCTTATATTTGTTAATACCTGTAATACTACAATGAATTTGTTGAAAATATTCTAGGATTTACTGCTGTATCAACAATACACATTACAGTCCAATAGGTTTAATAAACTTTCAATCCTCAAAAGACTATGAGTCACTGTGAGGTATGCAGGGTTCGCCTATTTTGTTTTTTTTACAAATTTCTAGATTAAATTGTTCATAATCCTTACACTATGTACTTATATATTTAACAGGTTGATTTGAAATGTCATCATACAGCTTCTGTAAGCAGCACAGCTGTAAAGGAGGATGCATTAAATAGTACTTGCTGCCCTGCAAATATGTCTGTCATGGTAAAGGAAGGAACACAAGTAGTGCCCGATGGATTATGTCAGTGAGTATTGATTTGTGTTAAAAATAAGAAAAATATAGTACTGTATATAATTGTATCATTGTGAAATATCATTGTAATCAAATCTGAATTTATTTCTGGTCAGAGCTGAAGATATGCCTATAGTGTCACTCATCCACTTGAAATTCAAACCCGACATATCTCAATTTCACTTATAAAATGTATGTGCAGATTTGTTACTGCATATTCTATGCTGGTCACGTATGCACACACACATCCAGCCATGGGGCACATACAATTTTCCAATGTGTTTTGGAAAATTCTTTACATCCATTCAGTTCCCTTTATTAATTTCTGCACATGCATTACCTCATTTACACCTATGTGTTTTTATGATTTCAGCCTCTGCACTGATGAACTTGTCTCGTCTAACCCATGGAAACGGAATCATACTGAGTTTTCGCCCTTACTTGGAGGAGTGCATAATACTCTTGATGGTGAAGCATCTCGGAAAGGAAAAACACAGATAGCATATAGTCAAGCGTCACAGTAAGAATCATAACTTGGCTATCTCCTTTGAGCTCAACATGTATGCTCGTTTCTTAGACTGGCTGGAACATCTGCCAATCCGTGAAACTTGCCATTTCCTGGCTTGAGGGTGCCAGAAGCCTTTAGTATTGACTCCCCCTCCCCTTCACTGGGCTTGGGGTCTGGTATTCAGCTCTGAGATAAATTTCCAAGATCGGTATTTCATCATCCTTGGAGGGGGAAGGGAGTTAGGTCTGAGGAGGGATCTATGGTTTATTTCTAGGGGCTCCTTGATTCATGGCCTTGTGGTCCAGACCCAATGAAACCTATTTAACAATTTTAAACCTATGGCTGTTATCAATGGTAGGCCAAATAGAACTTCCATAACTGAAGTGACCCATTAACGTGGAAAAATTTCGGCAAGATAGCTTGTGAAAGCTACCAGGGCTCTACCAGGAAGATGCATTTCATTACATTCAATGCTGGGCATTGAATGTAATGAAATGCCCAGCAATAAGAACTGTATGTTAAATAAGAACATATTTAATTGTAAATTAACTGTAAAAGGGATATTAGAAAATATCTGCACATTATCAAATTACCAGGAGCCATTATATAATAATAGATAAGGGATTATAATAATTTGGTGTTAATGAAACACTGAGGAGCACTAGGTAATACACTAACAGAATAGTGACTGGATAATACAGTAGTTTAGAGCTAATGAATTTACATTTTGTTGTTTGGATGAACAGCATGAACATGAACAGCATATATTGCCTAATTATTTACTGAAAATTACTGAAAGTCTTGTACATTTTCTATTTTGTTTTCAGATGTGAAGATCTCTGCTCAAGAGAGTTCCCAACGTACGTTTATCTCAGTTTTCAGCACAATCACCAAGTTTCTTTGCCAGAACATTGTGAAAAAGAATCTGTATCGAAGATAAAACAAAAACTGATAGCGCTCTATAGAACAGGATACACTCCATTAACGGCCCTCGAGGCTCTCAAGCATGACCTGCAAAAAGACTACTACTTTATGGCGGGTGACAGAGCCCAGGTTCCTGATAAACAGTTCTGTTATCGGTAAGGGCATATGAACAGAGTACAACATTGATTAGCTTGATTCAGCGAGTATATGGTTACAAATCTTTATTTTTATTAATTTATTCACTTTGTGAATCTCCACTCTAAAGTTATTTTGCTAGCTTTAATATTCTATATTGTACTAATCTAGTTGTGCTTGCATGAGTTGAGCTTTGGCTCTTTGGTACTGTACTGTCAATCAACAATAATTGTCTGGGTAATATATATAATATTATAATACTGTACAGTAGAACCTAGATTAATGAATTTAATCTGTTCCGGCAGCGAGCTCGTCTTTCAAAACGAATTTCCCCATTTAAAATAATGGAAGTAAAATTAATCCGTTCCACCACTGAAAAACGTCAATATGATATTCGATTTTTTAAATAATGGAGCAGTCTACCTGACATACACTGGATGATTCTTTGACATTTGTCTTGATTTTTTTTTTTTTTTAGAAAATGGAGCAGCCTACCTGACAATCACTGAATAAACTTTTATGACTTTTATATTTTTTCTAATTTTGTCTAAAACACAAAAATCAATGCTTATTGCAACATTACAGCAGTTGCCCCTATACATCCCAGTATTATTAGCATCTTTAAAAAAAGTTATTTGCATTGTTGGAGGTGTCCGAGAATTTGCGATAGCCAGCAGGAAGCACCATGATGTGCTTTTCATGTTAATCAAGCGAAAGCTCGAAATATATAATTTTGTGTGTGACACTTACCTATATGTGCATGTAGGTTTCAGCTGTAACTCTTGGACCCCACTATTCTAGCAATTGGTTGTCTAATGCAATGACTCCAGGCCTAATTCTCTATCATACCTGCTTTTAAAGTTATGAATGGAGTTAGCCTGTACAATCTGCTCCTTTAGGTCACTCCATTTACTCACACCCTCACACTTGTGCGTGTGTGTGTGTATTGATTGTCGTTAATTTTTCAGTCTTCTAATTCTGTTCTTATTCCATTTTTGCAGGGTGTATTATAGTATGTTCTCTCGAAGTTCACTTCCACGCCAACCATCAAGCAATGAGACATCAGTCGATCTTCACCATCAACAATGTGATGAAATTAATAAAAGGCTACACGTAAATCATAATACAAAATTTACCAGCCCGCTAGATACAAAACTGCACATAAACCAAAATAAGCATCTATTAGAAAGACAATTGCATGGCCACTCAAAGACATTTTTTAATAAAAGTGACATGGGTCATTGTAAACTGTTAAACAAACCAGTAAGTAGTACGAAGTTAGATAAGAATTGTATGCAGTTTGGTGAAGAAATTGAGAGTAGCTATAATATGACTTCAAATAATGACATATTAGTTGACATTCATAATAAGCTATCAAGTGACCATGATGAAAGATTAAAACCTTATTGCAAAACCTATCAATTTCAGTGTGCAGATGCTGAAAGATCAGATGAAGAAATGTTGAGTGACCTTCAGGATAACTTGAAAAGAATTTGTGGGATGTATAATTTGAAGTGTGCAAATATTGAAAAATGTGATGACCAAGTTATTGTTGCAGTCTGTTCTCCTTTGACAAAAATGGTGTCAAATGAAATTAGTGACAATGAAGAATGTGAGTATAATTCTTCTGAACCCGAGGACATGACATATTTGGAATGTGAAAGTGTGCCAGTTCATTTTCATTCTGAAACATATGCAAATGAATCAACCATAGAACATTGCATTGAGGATATGAGGACAGTCTTTGATGATTTGTTAACAAAAGTAGAATATAATCCTGAAGTTTTTGTGAAACCAATGGCAGTATTTTTTAAAAATTACCACCGAATAAAAAAAGATAATGATTTGAAATCGGCTTTGCATACATTTGGTAAATACACAAATTTAACAATGCCCATAATAAAATCCTTAAAGGGTTTGCATGTAGGTGACTCTGTTGAAGGTGAGCAAAATTCCACAGTATACGCAAGAAAGAGGAAAAGTTCATATGAAAATTGTCAGCAAAAATGTCTTAAGATTGAAGAAGCTATTTAAACATTTTCTGTGGCATTATGTAATGACTTGTCTGTTCTTATTAGTTTTATATAAATGGTGTAAAACACTCTCAAGATCAAGTTAACACCACTAGGCTTTGGTGTCAGGGACTCTAGTGTTCTTTTCTAATGATTGCAGAAACTAATTCTAACAGACAAGTATCTCGTCTAGAGACCAGAGAGTCCAAAGGATGTGATTTACGAGTACAGGTGCACAAGAAGAATGACTACTCGGCAATCTGTCTGGATGTGTCAGCTTGAACTCTGTACCCTAGATAGGACATCATCTCCCATGATAACTGGGGCATGTCCCTGGTGTATAGTAATAACTTATTCCTATGTGTATGGAGATGTCTTCTCCCCAATTGCTATGCTCGATTTTATTTTCGTGGCTACCGATATGGAATGTTGTTAATATATCTATGGTTTGTCATGAGCCCAGAGCAGTTTTAGGCGGGCTCAGACTCCCATCCACTTGGGCTGGATGGTCTCACTTCATGCAGATCGGCGTTCAATCCACGACCTTCCAAGTGGTTGGGCACCATTCCTTCCCCTCCCTGTCCCATCCCAAATCCTTATCCTTTCCCAGTGCTATATAGTCATAATGACTTGGCACTTCTCCTGATAATTCCTTTCCTTCCTTTAGGTGGGCTCAACTGATGACTCCATGTCAAATTTATAACAAGTGTAGTTCATCCTGAAAGTACTGTACTGCAATTTTTTTCTTATACAGTATACATATTGGTTCAGGTTAATGATGCAGTGTAGGAATAGTACCTGTACATTATTCCCTGAAACATAAAAGAATGACATGCACATTATAGTACTGTATTAGTGATCATATTCATTTTGGGTCCTTTGTTCACATTACATTTTCCCAGTCCATAGAAACTTGAGTGTATATTGTAGAAAGGTGTAATTTCTTATTGAGCAATAATGGGTTTGTGTTAAATAAAATTAAAAAATTATCATACTGCACAGTATTGTATGTCATAAGTTATTGTATTTATGCAAGATAAATAAAGTATCTATCTTTTTCTTTCTTGTAATTTTTACATTAAAAGGTTTTAATTAAGTACCGATTTGTAAATGTGAACACTGGTATCAGTTTGGTTGATCAGTAACAGTCAACCAAATATTATAGAGTCCAAGCACAATTAAAAGCTCTGTACCTCAGGGTACTGCTTTTCTTCTCGTATCAGATATAGATAAAAATACTGTACTGGTACAAGTCACAGCTTCGTATTGTCTCCTACAGATCACAAAAATATCAGCATGAAAATTATCTCTGCTGAAGACATTGATAAATTACAAGCAGATATCAATAAAGTTTTTAACTGAGCAGCAAAAAATAACATGATGTTTAACCTTGATAAATTCCAGGTACTCGGGTACAGTACAGTAAAAATGATGACCTTTAACAAAATACACTACCACTCAATACTCACTTCCCTCTTCAGAGCGGGAGAGATTGCTGAAATAGAGGGAGTACAGAGAACATATACGGCATACATAGATACGATAAAGCACCTATATTATTGGAATCGTCTCAAAGCTTTTCAAATGTACTCCCTAGATTTTAGGAGATGAGTGAGCTATTATATAATATACACATGGAAATTACTGGAAAGCCAGGTTCCAAATCTACACACCAGAACAACATACTGGTGTGAACGATATGGAAGAAAATGCAGACTAGAACCAGTGAAAAGCAGGGGTGCCATACACACAATCAGAGAACACTGTATAAACATCAGATCCATGGTTGTTCAACATCTTCCCAGCAAGTATAAGAAATATTGCCGGAACAAACGTGGACAGCTTAAAGAGAAGACTACAAGATAGTTTTCTTCAAGAAGTGCTGGACCAACAGAGCTGTGGTGGATATATGGGCCTGCGAGCTGCTCCAAGCAACAGCCTGTTGCACAAAGCTCTCACAAGTCAAGCCTGGCCTCAGGCCGGGCTACTTTAACTTTTTGTTCAGAGTAGCTGAATCTAAAACAACATACAAAAGAATATTATCCAGAGGTTTAATAATTATCAAGGCGAATGTACATATACTAAGGCCACTAATATGCTAAGCATTTTGGGCATAACTTAAAATATTAGTTATGTTGTTTAGAGGTTTGACGAGGTATACACTTAAATTAAACAAGAAGTAAGTCAACATATATATTGCTCAAACAATTTTGAAAATTATATACAGTACAGCTTTTAAGGAGAGCATAACATAAAAAAGGATGGGAGAAAATGAACATGTATTAAGGGGCAATACATACTTGAAATTAAATGAGATATGGTAACATTGATGGATTGCTATAAGATATGAAAATAATTGACAATTGTACAATAGACATTTTAAAACAGCCATTGTCTTAATAATATATACAGTACAGTACTTACTAATTTTAAAATTGTAGATAAAATTTAGAAAAATAGAATGTACACTATATGAGCACTAAAAGGGGTTTTCTTAAATTTACTGTTGTTAATAAATTAAACAAAATTTGATTCAACTAATTTTATAATCAAAGTAAATTAAAAATTTATGAGTGAATTACCAAGCACATCAAAATTACATAATGTACAGTAATAATTCGTAACTAACATTTTTCAAACAAGAAATAGGATGGTGTAGTTTAGTCTGGTTTATTGCACATTTTCAATAGTTAATCAATGCAGCATTTTTGAAGTATGACACAAGGGAGAGTGTTTCATTCATTGTGTCACATATATTATACCATGATTTCTTTTGAACAACAGCTAATTCCTCACATATCTGACGCACCTCTTTATTTTTCATTACAAAATCTGCATGAAGCTTGAGGAATAATCCTAGATAACCTTGAACAGCTTCAAAGTAATACTGCTTATCTAATGCAAACTTTATCATTTCTAAAAATTTGACCAAAACTTCCTCAGATCCACCAACATCAGGATCCAAGCCCCTAATTTCAACTTCAATTCCAGAGGGGCCCATTTCCATCAACATTTTCAATGCATCTTCCAAATTTCCAGCTTTTAACTTTTTTCCAAAAACAGTTAATACTTCAAAGGTAAACACAGACTTCACTTTAGATTTATCTTCATTTGTTTCTTGTCCTGTAGAAGCAAACTTAAATTCTAAACCAGGAACAGTAGGCAAAAAGAAAGGAGCTGATTTTGGTATCTTGGGAGGCTCCAATGGCTTGTTCCTTCTTTTGATAACATCTAAATTTAGTAAGTTTAACCATCTTGATGTTGGTAGCAAAGCTAGTGTAACCAACTCTTCAGAAATTTGTTGAGGAGACTTGTATTCGTCTTCATCATCGTGAACATCACCATCTTCAACTTCTAACACAGATGTCTCTTCTCCCTCTTTTGGTACCAATTGCCTTACATCTGCAGCTGTTGAAGGTAAGGCAATGTGTGTTGCTTGGAAACTCTTAGGTAGAGGGCGAAGAGAAAGATGATGATAACATGCCTGATTAGACCACAGATAGACACCAAGTTGATCTGCATGAGTGGTAGCTAAAAAATCACCAACAGGAGACATAGTTAATGAAGTAGTTGGAATTGGTACCAAAAAGCAGTCCACACAAGTCCCTGAAGGTATATCCCAAGTTCTAATTGTATTGTCAAGAGATGAGCTGATAAGCCATTTAGAATCGGAGGTAAAAGTAATGTCTGTCACATGATTATGATGCCCATATAATTTTCTTACAAGACTCTTTGTATCTATATCTATAACATGAATACTCCAATCTTCAAGAACAATGCCTACAAGTCCAGAGTCTCTGTGGAGACACATTTTCGATATACTTTCTTCCATTTTCAATATCTTGATGCCTCGGCAGTCTTTCATTCTCCACCATCTCAACTCACCCTCCTGCCCACCTGACACTACATACTGATTTAGTCCATGTGTTACAACATCCCTTACACCACCATCATGAGCAACTGGAGTACCAAATGTCCCTCGAAGAATTCCAGACTGAATATTATATTTGTCCATATGACCCGAGTCATATCCTATTATAACAAAATTTCCACACACTGTTAAATCTACACATGTTGCAATAGCCCTATGTAAATTTTTATCCTTAAAGCGTTCATGTATTAATTTATGCTTCCCCATTTTTTGTGATCCTATTGACCAAGTTGTCACTACAGTTTTACCTCTATGAATTGCAGCAACATTATCCCATGCCTTCTCCTGCGCAGTCTCCGATGTTAAACAAGTAATTGCTGGCATTTTCTTAGTGTCCAAAGACTTCTTCTTCTTCTTTGAAGCACTTCTGTTATATGAAGCTTGTCCTAAACTCTTGTTCAAAATGTCAGTCACTGTGGAGAAGACCCTCATTACAGAATCTTCACCAGCTGTAAGGATTGAATTTCCCAAGCTTCCATGGAATCTTGCTATCAGCGGAGGAGCTGAATGCCCATCTCGAATCTTCAATAACCTGGCTCCTCCATCTGGAAGATCAAATATCCACATCTTGAGAGAGTTGTCGGATGACGATGTAACCATCAAAGGCTCACTCGATAGACACGTAATCCCAGACACTGGACCAGAATGTGCATCCCGTAACTGTGACACCAGACGTCTCTCTTTTAAATCCCACAATGCAACATGTCCAAGTTCACTGCCCGTCACCATCACTGGAAATCCATCTGTACGGAAGCTTATTCCTGTCACTTTACCCCAGTCCTGCTTGAAGTCTACCACAGTTTCATCGAACTTCAAGTTATGAAGAATAATTCTTCCATTTGCTAGGCCCACTGCCATCACGTCCTGTGCTGGTGCTTGTTCTAAAACAACTACACTGGAGTCCCAGCCATTAAAAGTGTAAACTAACTTACAAGTTTTGAGGTTCCACAGCTGCATCTTTCCTTGCTTACTACCTACTAAGATCTTATTGAGGTAAGTTGCAGGATGTGCCATGGCCGAGATCTCGAAGCATTTTAATTGGAACTCCATCTCCATGTACAGTGATTCAGCTTTGATGTCCCAAACACGAAGATTATTCAGTTTATCCACAGTGATCAAGTGTGGCCCAAATGGGAGCATAAGATGAACACCTGCTTCGTGCCCGACATACTTATGTTTTAACTCGGTCCCACGTCGCCAAGCATATATTGTGTTGCCGCTTGACGTGAAGACATGATAGGCATCAGCAGCCAAGGCGTCGATAGCTGCTCCATGTGGATTACTAACACTTAACAGGCCGAGCTTCCCTGCACCGTAGGTGTGGAAGGAGTTCCCTACGACAGTTACAATGAGATTTTCTTTTCTTCTTTGAATGTAACGTACCACATGTGCTATGTCAGTGCTCACCAGGCCAAGAGCACGGTAAGGAGTAAATATTTTACTCCCTTCACCCATTTTAGTGAGAGTTTAGAGAGACGCACTCGCCCCTACACACGTGTTGGGTGATTTGTTTACAAAGCAGACCAATACAGGTATAGTCTCTTTCTAATTTGATTTCAATATTTGTTCTGAAATTTTGATTAATATGGTAGATGCTTTGAATATATTTTTCCTTTATCAATGCAATTTTTATTTTTAAAATGCAAATTAAAGATATATGAGTGATATTTATGGTTTTATCTAGAAGTTCTTAATGTCGCCTACACAGTTGGTACATAACATGTTCATAACACAGTTAAAAATGTATCTAAATGTTCATCATAAGTGCATATAGTGCTATTATATAGTTTTCCTAGTAAAAATGTATTAGAATTCCTTTCTTTATTATATATATACACACAGGTATATATATTCATCGTCTATACTGCCTCATATAATTACTATACAGTCATGTGTGGTTAGCATACTATACGTTTTACTCTGCTGGGAAGATAAGAGACATAGTATAGATTTAGAATAAACGAGTGGAATAAGTCTGGAAGTAATTAAGATGTAAAATTAAGATACATAAGATTCTTGCCCGAAACGCCATGCGTATTAGTGACTTTAGATATAGTAAATACTAGCTCTACCTATAAACCCAACAATATATGTGTAATTCCTCATCTATATATGTGGTTTTCCTGAATAAATAATTCAAGTTCAAGTATGTTTATTGAGACAAGAAAGAAATACATCTCAAAGGGATAGAGTAGCTTAGGCTATTTCTAGCTCTACTTCAAGTCCATCAAGGGGCGCACAAATTCAGTAAGTACAAATAGACAATTAACATTACAAGAATCCCATTTAACATTGCAAATAACTAATATAATTTCGAGTATAGAGGTATGTGGGTAGGAAATGTAGAAGTTTATCTCTCAGAATGTTTGGGAATTTATTGTTTGTGATGTGTGTCTATGTATGTATTAACACGATGTACTGAACAGGGTGAGAATAGCTTGAGCTACCTCATATTTTACCTCAATAAACTTATTTTAATTGCAATTTCAAGGTGTGAAGGGTGGAGCCGGGAGCCCTCTGGTGGCGGATCAGTCAAGCTCCGGGAGACATTACTAGCAGCAGGGGCTCGGCCGCCCATCTCTCTCATCTCCCTCACCATGGAGCCTTACGAAGTCTTAGTTAACCAGCCCGTCGTCATAGATAACGTGAGTGGGTGAGGGAGAGTGAGGTAGGAGGGGTGGTAATGGCGTGGGTGTGTCAGGGGAGAGGGAGAGAGGTGGGCGGCCGGGCGCGTCTGTCAAATGATGTTTGGCTGATGAGTCATGGCTGGTTATTTACGCTGGTGGGTTAGGTGTGTTGTGCCTCTTGGGCCTCTTGTGGTGCCTCTTGTGCCTCTTGGTCCTCCTGTGGTGCCTCTTGGGACTCCTGTGGCGCCTCTTGGTGCTCTTGTGGTGCCTCTTGGTCCTCCTTAGGGGGGTCACTACAGGCACGGGGTGAGGGCTGTGTGGTGGTAAAGATTGTCTTTCGTTGGTTCATATTCGTATCTTGTTATTCACTTCAACCCCAAACTTCCTCTCCTGATTAGTTGATTTATTGTCGATTTTATGGTTGATGATGCTGGGAGCTTGTGGCCCCGGGTTCGATCCCGGGCGCCGGCGAGAAACAATGGGCAGAGTTTCTTTCACCCTATGCCCCTGTTACCTAGCAGTAAAATAGGTACCTGGGTGTTAGTCAGCTGTCACGGGTTGCTTCCTGGTGGAGGCCTGGTCAAGGACCGGGCCGCGGGGACGCTAAGCCCGGAAATCATCTCAAGATAACCTCAAGATATATGTTAGCTGAGCTAGTCATCGTATCTTTGAACTGTTGGCAATCATTTGTTTTTAGTCGATTAATATAGTGATTTCTTGACATAAAGGTCAATATGCTTAGATATTGTCACCAATGATTTCAGCAGGAACTTTGGGGTAGTTAGTCTTGACAAGCCCTGGGATGATGTTGGTCCTCTGTACACATACATCTTGGGCTACCATATGTTACGTTTTTCTCAAAGGTGTCTCCTTTAGTCCTTAACTCTATCTACCTGGTCTTGGTTTTGAAATACTCTGTATAAGAATGTTCAGGTTTTTTGCTGCTTATTCTTTTTCAGATGCATCTTGATATGTTTACAGTACAGTATATAGAATAGTGTAGCAGGAATATAAGTGGTTTTTGATGACCAAACCACCTTACGTTGAGGTTACCTTGAGGTGCTTCCGGGGCTTAGCGTCCCCGCGGCCCGGTCGACGACCAGGCCTCCTGGTTGCCGGACTGATCAACCAGGCTGTTGGACGCGGCTGCTCGCAGCCTGACGTATGAGTCACAGCCTGGTTGATCAGGTATCCTTTGGAGGTCCACACGTCAGATGACAAAGTCGTTTCTCCATCTTCTGATGTGTGGTTGTCGTCGTCATCTTCAGCCGCATTATAGTGACTCATATAATTGGAATATGAAGTAGCTATAAGGTGCCCATAACTCAAGAAGCACATCAATAAACTGAAAAAGGTGTGAAGACATACTACTAAATGGCTTCTAGAAGTGAAAAAAATACAATGAAAGACTACAGGTGTTAAATATTCCAAACTAGAAGATAGAAAGAAAACAAGCAGTATGATCATTCCGTACAGGAACTGACAAAATTGGCATAGGATTTCTTGAAATCTGCAGCCTCAAGCACAATAGTAGCTTTAGTAGGAAGATGAGGCCCATCATTAGCGCATCATCCAGTGTCTGGACGTGCAGGGTAGTCATACTAAAAGGCATTGAACTTTTATCAACAGCAAATGAGTGATTACCATGTATATATTTATAGGCAAATTCTGTTATATGCAGTTGCAAAATTATAAAAATATTTTAGTATATATGTACATAGTATAAATAATAATCCAGGCCATTACAGCTAAACCACGAGAGATATTTTTTATTTGGATTTTTGTGCTTCCTGGATGCTAATTAACAATATCAAATGTGTTTTTTGTTTTTTTCCAAAACCATTTTTTGGTGGGCACCACAGGAGTTTGTGGGCACATATGACATGTGCTCAGTGCAGGGGTTAAAGATGATATTGTAAATACAGCATCATTTTTATTGCCTTTTGATGAACATTAACATGCAGTAAATGTATTGAAAGAGCTGTTTTGTTTCAGGGCTCAGGTGTAATTAAAGCAGGTTTTGCAGGTGACCAAACTCCAAAATGTCACTTCCCAAATTAGTACGTACTTTTGCATTTTGTCATATCAAAAAAATATTTTACTAATTTTAAATTTAGTGCAAAACTATATTTTTTGTAATTTTCTTATATAAGTGAGTGAGTGGTTAAAATTATTTGAAAAATAATTCAAGTTTTGTGTAATATTGTTCCTCCACATAATCAAAATTGTATTGTGATTAAGAATTTGTTTTTATTTAGCATGACTGTAGTGTCTCACTTTCTGCAACAGTGTGTCTTGGTTTGACTTGTTCTCTCAGTTCCACTATAAACTTGAAACAGGTTTACCATTAGTGGTAGCTCCTCTACCCTTTCTTGTTTCTGCTACATGTAAAGTTACCTCTAGAAGTGCTTGTCTTCTGAGTTTATCAATTTTACTTCTTCACTCTCGTGGGGGCTCTTCATTTAGCCAGCCTATTTACCTATAATTACAATATAAAATAATCAGCATTATTATCCTATTCATCATTTCTAGGTTAAGGAGGAATCAACTCTGAGAAAAAGTGTCAAGTTATAATGAAGTGAGGAGGCATTATAATACTGTATTTTGGATTTTCCTTAGAAGATTTAGCTAGATTATTTAAGAACAGAATAGCTTATTTTTGAGTATAATGTACAATGTAATGCAATAATGTACTTGTGAGCACATTGTACAGTAACTGCCATAATTTTACCATAGCCAAGACTTACCAAATTTGCTGTTGAGAGATATAAGTGTGTTGCCCAAGTTGCTCTAGCGTGTAATTTAGTGAAGTGATTGATTTGATTTGTTTAATGTGAGGAAGGTTTGATTTACAACGGAATGAACACAATGTTAAAGTTGGGCGACACAACACAATTACACTTTACTTATTGTAAGTAAAGTGTAATTATTTCCATAATGTTTGTGTTTTAGAATTAGTGTTGCATCCTGTTGAGTTGATACTGCAACTTGTTTTGTCCAAATATACAACATCGGTTAGTTGGATAACATGTGACGAAATTTCTTTTCTTGTTGATGCTATTACAAAAACTATATATTTCTGTAAATTATCATTCTGAGTGAAAGGAATATGATATTGCTGCTGTAAGTTTACCTATAATCATGTACCACTCTTCTTCAATATTTTGAGCCTGGAATACAAAAACAGTGCTGTTCTGATCTTGTAAGTGCATAAATATTTGAATAGCATATTATTTATCATAATATTGTACTGTACTGTACAGTATATTCTTAATATGTATTTTTTAAGGGAGCCTTCAGTAAGTAGTTCTCCAAACTTAATTCAGGTAACACCAAACCTGAACCCAACACTACATAGGGGTATACATTTTCCCTGACACCACTCTGCTTTTCAGTATTGGCAGACCAAAACATGTGCGTGTAATGGCCGGAGCATTGGAGGGAGACCTTTTTGTTGGCCCAAAGGCAGAGGAGCACCGTGGCCTCTTATCTATTAGGTAAGACTGGCCAGATTCTGTTATAAACTGTTTAAACTTGTACTTTTATTGGGTTTATTAATTTTAACCTATCAAGTAACTAAACTGAATTGTACAGTACTGTAGTTACATTTAATATTTAATATGGCCTGTATTTACAATACCTCATATTCTTTAGATTTACAGTACTATACTTTTATTGGGGGGTATGAATTAATTTTTGTTGACTTGTAATATAGTACATTAATTTACTTAAGCACATATAAAAATATTTTTTGTCAGTTTCTTAGTTTAGCTATTTGATGTACCGTTTGTTTTATTCATAAAAATGTTTATACCACGCATGAGAATCACTGAAGACGTTGCAGTACTGTTCACTGTGATAAACAAATTTATTAATTTTGTCGTACAGTATTTATAGGAAATGTCTCATTTTTCCTTCATTAGATATCCAATGGAGCATGGAATTGTAACAGACTGGAATGATATGGAGAGGATCTGGCAGTATATATATAGTAAAGACCAACTTCAAACATTTGCTGAAGAGGTTAGTGTATACGTGATTATAAATTAGATGCAGTAAAATTTGTTTTTAGTTAATGTATTTCTCAAAACATTTAATATAGTAAAAAGAAAGACTTATGAGGCATGGACAGTATATTATTTCTGGAGGGAGGCCAACCCCCCCCCCCCCCTGGTGGCTCCCTGAAGGTGTCTTGCTGAGATTGCTTCTTGCAATAATGTCTCATCAGATGCAGGAGCTCTGCTTGGCCTACTGGGGACTAGAGGGCAAATTTGGCCCACTCACAGTCGGTGCCACACGGCACCTCGGATGCATTTCCGATGGTTCCTTTTATATAAAAGGGGTGACGCCGAGGAAAATAAGACTTGCGTCCCTACCAAAAAAACACAGAGGTTAAGTGACAGTTTTCCACCACACTAGGAAAGCATCCAGAAAATCAGCAAATTTTTACAGACACCATAAAGTTTAACGAAGGCCAGAGCCTCTAAAATGCCAAGCAACTCTACAAACGATTCACACAGAATAGAAGAAACATTCATAATTAGCGTAAAAACAATATTACCGAATGCTATCTTCCCCCCATCTTTCTTCTCAGATCTGGAGCTCTTGAAAAGTACACCAATGAACTGATTAACCTGGTTGGGAGGTGAGTCAGGAAACCACCAGGGCTCATCCAGAAACAGGCATTTCATTACATTCAATGCTGGGTTTGTAGAGGGAGCCCCCCACGGTCACTCCCTGAAGCTAACTAACCACAGAGAATAAAAATGGGACTTGCCACAGAGGAGAGGTGGCTTGCACTAGGACAAGGAAGAAAATCGAAACCAGGAGACCCCACCCAAGGTGGTATATGACCGACTTTAACCAAAGATATTAACCAAATACTGTACTGGGCTGCCAGTATCACTGCCAGCCCAGTGATTTGATGATACTGCAGATGACCTTGTAATATGAGTCCTAGGAAACAGGGTTAGCCAACATGGCATCCACCGAGGCAGAACTGGTGATCTGCAGGTAATGGCAAAGAGCCGCAACCAGACACAACAAGTGATGCACCCCCAGTCAGACCAACCAGTCATCAATCACTAGTAGACCCCTCCAAAAGCTGGTCGACTTATACTTTGCCAGAAAAGAAGGTTGAAGGCTGCAAACAAACCATGTGCCAGGGCCAAGGAAACTAAACCCTTGTCTCTGGAAAAAGAGCCTGAAAGTTCCCACCATTTGTTTTGGAGGGGGAGGGGGGTGGAGCCTCAGATTGTAGGGTTGGGGAGCTTCATACTTTTCTCAAGAGGTGTGGTTTTTGTTCACTAGGCCCTGGTGGGGTGTTACATTCGTCTGTTTGTATATTAGTACAGGTATGTATTTTTTTGCAATACTGTACGTTTATGCATAAATATGTATGAATTGCCAGGGATCCTGTACATCTTGTACATAACTATCTTGTACTGTACTTAGTTATCATATTGTAATATCAGGCACTATAAACACCAGTACATTTGCATCAAATTTGCACTGAATATTGTTCATTGGAGAATTCTTTCAAGGCAATTCATACATATTTATGCATATATGTACAGTATTGCCAAAAAGATACATACTAATATACAAACACACACAAGTCAAATAATAAATGCTTCCTTTGCACAGAGCCAAAAGGAAAGAAAATTATACAGTGGATTTAAATATATGTACACTCTTTTGTGTAACCTCGTTTGGGCAGATTGTAATGAACCAGAACTATTAAGAGGGGCGGAAAGAACTCTCCAAATGAACAATGTTCAGTGCAAATCTGATTCATATATTGGTGTTTATAGTGCCTGATATTACAATATAACTATGTACAAGTACTAAATAACTATGTACAAGACAAGTGTTATGCACAAGATGTACTATAGGGTTTGTGTGTCAAAATGAATAAAAAATAATCACTACTTTTGTTGTGTAATTAAACATATTCCTTCAGAAGTTCAAAATTCTATTCAATTTGTGTCCTTCCTAACTTTAATTGTTAATTCTTTTTTTCAGCATCCTGTTTTACTTACAGAAGCCCCCCTTAACCCTCGAAAAAATAGAGAAAAAGCAGCTGAAATATTTTTTGAAACTTTCAACGTTCCTGCTCTCTTCGTTTCCGTGCAGGCGGTCTTAAGTTTGTAAGTATATTTCTGTATATTTTTATATGATGCCATTATTTACTATACATGTATTAGATAAAATGGAAATAATGTACAGTACAATCCATCATTCTGTAAATTTATCTTCAGATATGCTACAGGACGAACAACGGGTGTTGTTTTAGACTCCGGTGACGGTGTAACGCACGCTGTTCCTATTTACGAAGGCTTTGCCATGCCTCATTCAATCATGAGGGTAGATATTGCTGGTCGAGATGTCACTCGGTGAGAACTGTTTATAATCATATCTTTATAATCATGTTTATAATCAAACCTTTATATCCGCCTAGGCAGATCACCTGACCACCAAGAATAAGTGGAGGAACATATATATTTTGATTATATCAAAATGTATGTAATCAATATATTTTCATGTAATTGCTGCACTTATTCAGGATTTCACTTTTATTTTAATGACATTTTTACTTGACCATTGTTATGGTATAATTGTTACAGCTAGAATAAAGACAAGGTTTTCAAGTTTGTCAAAACTACAGTACTTTTATATGTACTATTCAATCATAATGTTAATATATATATATATATTGCATTAATGAAACAATAAGTAGAAAGTAGACCTTATATTAAGACAGTAATTTCATACAAGAACTGTTATTTCCAAATCAAATTTGCTCTCAGCTTGAGTTTTCTCTACATCTTTCTCAATTCATTTGTGCTCTGTTTAACTATATATATATTGTAATTTAATTTTGGACTTTAAATTGTCAAAGGTTATAAAATAGAACATAGCACAGGCCTACGAAAGTTGATTGATTTGTTATAAACCCGATCCATTCCACCAGGAGATCCATTGTAAACAATCTCAGCTTTTTTCAGCTACTATTATGGTCTCTGTTGTTTTGCTATTTTTGGACACAATTATTCTTTGTTACATTATACGCTCAAATTAACAACATTCAATGTAATTTTATCTGGAAAATAAAGCTTTGAACTCGGTATAGGCCTTGCAAAATATTGAGGAATTCTTTTAAGAATAAGACGTTTATAAAGCTCAAGATATTGATATTTTTTAAAAGTGGCATGTTTGAAAATGATATTTAATGTAGGATGATACAGTATTAATAAAGTTATACAATAGACAGTCAAGATAAAACTAAAACTGAACATATATATATATATATATTTGTCTTAGTAATAAAACAAAACCAATAAATTTTGTTTTCAATACATTTGTTCTTGGAATAAATTGTTTAATTAAATATACTGGTTAATTAATTTAAGGTTCAGGAGTAAAACGTATTCATGTCTTAATAATCTGTTATATTTCCAGTTACCTAAAGCTACTATTAAGAAAAGAGGGACTAAGTTTGTATACAACAGCAGAATTTGAAGTTGTAAAAACAATGAAGGAACGTGTTTGCTATTTGGCTACCAATCCTCAGCGGGAAGAGACTGTTGACACAGAGCGACTCTCGTATCAGTTACCGGATGGGTCAACAGTTGAGGTGAGATCATTAGGCATCGAATGTTCACTCTAGTGCATTATTGGACAATAGGAGAAACAAGCCATGAATTATGTGAAAAGTCAAAGTCATCCATTGTGTCCTATCACTTTCCTTTCTTAGCATCGACATGTTAGTTGACATACAGTACCTATCCTGTCTTAACTACCACACTAAACACCTCTATACCTTGCCTTATTGTGCATATTATTTCTTTCTTCTGCCCAACTAAATTATGCTTAAGCTTCTCTTAACTTTTTGTTGGTAACAGAAAGTCAAGTCTAGTTATTACCTATATAAATAAGACTGCATGTAGACTGCATATGGTTATCTACATCAGTATGTCAAGTTCAAAGTATAAAATGAACAAGAAAATAACCTTGAAAGACAGGGCTTATCATCTCCAAGTTGTAATAACAGGCAGCAGATATTATGAATCCTCCTCACGCCACACCAACTAAATCTTAGGTATTGTAAAACCTTCATTGTTTGTGGCGTTTATTTTTCAGGTTGGCCAGGCACGTTTCCGTGCTCCAGAAGTTTTATTCCAACCACATCTTATTGGAGACGAGAGCGATGGTATCCACGAAGTTCTTCTTTATGCTATACATAAATCAGATATGGATCTACGCAAGCTTTTGTTCCAAAATGTTGTCATTTCTGGAGGATCAACATTATTCAAAGGATTTGGTGATCGATTGCTCTCGGAAGTAAAGAAGCTTGCACCTAAGGATATAAAGATCAGGGTATGAATTTTATAGTTGTTAGTAATTTTGCTTAATGGTAATATAGTAACTCATGTGTAAAGGTAATGGAAAATATATGATTAGGTGTAAATTTGCAGGATAAATATATTTTATGCTATGCCTTGAAAAATACAGAAACAAAGTCTGGATTGTAGATTGAGTTCTAGTTAGTGTGACAAATGCACGTGTGACTGTTTAATTGCCATGTAAAATTCTTTATATATAATGGCTGACTGTTTACTACCATGTCGATCTTCACAAGATTTCCCTGATGTAGCCAAACCTAAGAAAGTAAATTTCAGTCAAGGTGAGGAAAATGGCCAGTGCCATTTTCTTCTTGGTTCTGTCCCTCTTCTAACCTTTATAACCTATTTTCACTCCAAAATTGTGCTTGAGGCACTTTCCTTAGTAACTTAAAGCATTGCTTGTGCCGTCTATGATGTTATTAGTTGGGATAAATGACTTGATGCGAGCAAGGACTGTGTTTGGATGGCAATGGTAACAACAGTCAGCCACCACAATCACTATAAATACAGCTAACATATCCTCTTTAATGATAACTTGCACATCTATACAAACACAACCACTATATTCACTATAAACACAACCTCTGTATTCACTACAAACAGCTACAATAACAACCACCTCCACACCATGCTCATTATATTCACTTTGCTCATTATAAAAGTTTGTACTCATTACACTCTATTTAATGCAGTTTCCTGTAATTATTGCACTTTGTGTACTTACTGCATAAATTTGTTAATACAGCATTTTGAGATCTGCCAACTTGGGAATATTTTTCATTGCTCTCAAGATATAGAAATACTGTATAATGCAGCATATCTACTGTACTGTAGTTTTAATAAAAAAAAATCCAATTTTACATACTCATAATTCTTTTGTCATATGTTAATATCAAATTGTGTTTTGATTAAAGATCTTCTTAAAGATAAAGTTAGATTTCTGTAGTGTGTGAGAAGGCCTATTCTAATTTCATCTGTTAATAGTTAGATTTTGGTAGGTTATAGATTACAAAGATAATTTTTCATTTTCTTAGTTTAAACTCCTATAAGGATAAAACTATCACATGTACTCACTAAAAGAATAAGAAATCATAAATACGGTAAATTATATATTTTCAGATTTCCGCACCTGCAGAGCGACTCTATTCTACATGGATTGGTGGTTCAATTCTTGCTTCTTTAGACACTTTCAAGCGTATGTGGGTCAGCAAACGTGAATACGATGAAGATGGTGTTCGAGCAGTTCATCGGAAGACTTTCTAATTGTACATTAAGTGTAGAATATGGCTAGTTAAGGCAGAGACTATTATTCATGTTCGTTCCATTTAAATTGAATTTGTTTTTATTCTCAGATTATCATTAAAAAAGGTATTTATTTTAATACTTTACAATTAAAACAAAATTAAGACTAACTTAAAATCCATTGGTGTTTGAGAGTATAAAATGGATAACGTGAGTTTTACGTTACTGTATGGTGGTTGTAAAGATTGATACCGTGCAGATACCGGTAATGGCAGCAGGTTAGGTCACTGTGAGGCATTTGTATATGTATATTTTTGCCATGTGTGCGTGGATTATAAACAGAGAAAATCAACCGAACCGTGTAAGGCAAGATTTATAATAAATTGTAAAGCATATCACAAGACATGTATTGAATTTAATATTGCATTCTGTTGTATATTTTCAAAATATAGGATTTGTTATCTCGAGCATTGTCATATTGCACTAGAATGGTTTTAGGTAGGCTATGTGAACTGTAATTTTGTGCAGCTTATTTGTACTTTAGACAGTGGTACTCTGGTGACTGAAAGACGTAAAGTTGACGGCACAGTGACAGCCTGTCGTGGATCTGAATTGCCTTGATGCATGTGACGGAGGATGGCTATATTCCACTTCAGTTTTAACTGACAGCATTGCTTTGAGTTAAAATTGTTTCAAGGTGTATTTTAAGTGTAGTAGATTTAACAGTAAGCTTTAAATTTAAAAGTTACACGATTTGTACTTAATATACAGGTAGTTCATTGTTTTTATGCATATGCATACACTTTGCTATTTAAAGTGAAGATTAAGGTTGAATGCAAATGACAACATCTACTATTAAAAACTGATCATGGCTTCATCTGCCAAATGTGGTTGTGAGTCAAATATTAGCCTACCTGTGTAACTTTCCTAACTTCAACAACTATGGATGGATAATTCAATATTATCCCTGTAATTTCATTACCATTAGAAAGCATTCCTTTGATACTGTACCTCTAAAACTAATCTTCCATATGGGGAACTTTAGTTAGTATAGTATGCAGTATGAATAACACCTTAAGGATAATATTTCTTAACAGATCTTATTAATTTTCTATTGCTTCTGTGCCTTGATAATGAAAGAAATCTATTGCTTTTGTGAAACCAAAGTTAGTTTAATTGTAGCACAGATGAATGTTGTATTTTGCATGAGCCTACTTATGGTGAATGCAATATCTTGAATGGTATTGGTAGCACCTTATTTTGTTACTGCTTCATTTCTTGTGCAGGTCTCGGTGTAACCGAGAAGTACAGTAGTTCCTTTATGAACTTCAGTCATCATTAAGTATCTTGGCCATAATTTGAGTCTTTCTGTCAACTTAAACAATCCTAGAGTTAGTGTACAGCCATTCAAACTGCTTTTGTCCATGCATTTGATGAATAATGAGCTTTAACTAGATATTTTACTCGGTTTATTTATTGAATTTTTATTATTAAAGTCCTATTTTTTAGCATTCGTATAAGACTTCTAGCTATGTACACAATCATTACAAGTTACAAATTTAGGATGAGAATGTTGTATATTTTGTAAGAATTTGCATTGAGCAAGGGCTGTTCAGGGTCTGTATTTTACAGGAAGCACAATGTTATTTACACCTTTATCAATCCACAGATTTACCGTACTTGATTTTTATTTTTTTTTGGTAAGCTTCGTACTGCTGAAACTCTGGTGAAATGGACATTTCCAATATTTACATTGATTATTTTGTATTTATAATGAAGTCGATAATCACTTCTGTCTTTTCTTTAATCTTTCAAGCTCTTATATACATTGCGGAGTCTCTACAAAATATATGCTATTTATAACAATGTCATGGCTCATAGGTGCATTCAGCTTGATGGAATATTATATACAGTATTTTTGCTTTTTAAGCGAGTGTGTTAACTGGTGCTATATCACCTTTAGGTTCAAATTTTGTCAATGAGACCATAGGGCAAAAAGTCCTTGTTTATTTAAAATATTAGCATAGGAGGAGCAGAACTGAAATTGTTGATATAAGAAGATTGCTCCACACTTCTATATTAGATTCTGTCAATTACGGAAAATAAATGTAGTACTGCATGGTATAAGAGAAGTTTAGAATTTAGTTCGACATAAACTAGATGTATACAGAATTTGTTTTTGTCCATGGTATGATGATTAGCATCATATCGTATTTTTATTTTCACAGCCAACTCGTGGTTTTAAACAAAGATGCATTCCAAGATACCTAAGTTTAATGCTGTTATAGAAAAAAATGAATACATTCCAAAACAGAATTTTAATGAATAAAAATTCCAGTAACTTTTCTTTAACAAATAGTAATTTAGAATATAGTACTGTACTAACACTTGATTAAATCTTCCATGTCAGAGAGAGGAGTAAGGGAGGAGCTGGTGGACTATTTTATACCTCTAGTGTGTGTGTGTTTTTTTCAAGCTCTCCCCACTTTAGCCTTTGACCTAAGATGATGGGTTTTTAAAATATATGTTATCAACTTGTTATTTTTAATTTTTGATGTATGACGTATGAAATGAGGAAATTCTAAGCACTAAAATTCATCTAAAAATCATAACCAGCTAGTCTTCAAATTTAGCCAATAGCTTTGTTATATTCAATATGCTGCCTTCAATCAATTTACTAATGGAATTCTAATATGTATGGGATTAAACTAAATTTTATAATAAGTTGTGTGAATATCTTATATCTACTCACATCACCATACAATGTAGAACGTATAACAGCAACGTAGAATATTTAAATGACCTAAATGATTTCTTCGTGTTGAAGCGATGAATGTGACACTAAGAGTTAACTTCGTGCAGTATTTAGTAAACCAAAATTTGCATAAAAATTGCCAGACTATACTGTACATGTATAATATCTAGGAACAGCAGAATATCCAATGCATGGCAGTACAGTACTGTACCTTCAAAATCAGCCCTAAACAATGAATTACAGTCAAGGTAAGCATTTAAATATTACTGAAGGGTATGTATGTATATACAGGACATGTACATATCTGCACAAACTTTATATTTGGTAGTATGTTTTGGCTGCGACCCTATTTCATTGATAAAGATATAAAATTACATTAACAAAAATGTAATGCAAAATAAGTGCTTAAAATATTTAAATTTTTTGTATATAACTTATTGAAATTACAGGAATTTAATTAATATGTTCTTGCTACGTATCACAGGCTTAGGAAAATACTATATTAAAAAACTTCACATGGAAAGTGGTGTGAAATCTGTTTTGGAGGTTAATTTCAGCAAACCTCAAACACAGTACATAAACGATTTATTAAAGTAGTGTATATTTTTGCATTATAAATACTATTGTTTTTTATTAATCAAGTGCCACTTCTGCCCATTTATGTTAAACTGGTGCACAAATACAGCCGTGTTCAGTGACAACGTTGGTAACACCAAATGATGGCCAGATTTCAGATATCTTTATTTTAGTGTTGAATTTATTAGTTTCAGGATTGAGAGGAAAAGATGGCACAAGTTCTAGTCTATGTTGCAGAACCTGTGCCATCTTTTCTTTTTTCGTAATTCAAAAATAAAATGAAACACCGAGGCCAGCAGTTAGTTACCATCGTGGGTTCTGAACACTGCCAATTGTCAAAAGATTATAGATATTATAATGTGATAAAAAAACCAGTTTAAGAGTTAGAAAATTGGTATATGATAATGAGTCCCTGTTGAGTGTAACATTACATCAAATTATATCCATATTAAAGCACAGCCTCATGTTTATCCTCTTTGTTTACTTGGAGGAGTTTGACCTCACTATGATGCATGAGTGCTGAATGATGTCCCGGGGTCCAGTGCTACACATCAAGCCTCACCACTATTACACCAACTTACCATTATCCGTGAGTTTTTTAATTCTTTTAATACCAGTTGGGCTGTGCCATACTCAATACCTACTAGAGTAACACCAACTGGTTGGCAGGAGAGGTTATACATCATTTCTAAGTCATTCTATTGTTCTCTGAGTCAAAGCTCAATCTTACTGATTCTTGACTAGGCGCTTGAATAGTCGGAACAAGCTGACAATATGTAACAGGAAACTTTTCAAGGAGATGCAGGAGAATACTCTATCCAACCCAGAACGTATTTTAAGTGCATATACATTACTCAAAAAGACTTTCGAGGAGTAACTTGGCTTTAAAAGAGTGACAGCCTGCTTTCTGGCTACCTGCTGAATGGCTCACTAGGTACTGAAGCTACAACAAAACCCTGCAATACTGCCTCTAAACATTGTATCCTGACAGGTCATGGCTGAATGTTGTATGGGCATGATGCCAGAACTTTAAATTCCCAAGAAATATAAACATGAGCTATATCCTGCTTGTTGGGATATTTTAAGGTTAATTTGCTGGTTGATAAGCAAGTGTCCTAGTCAACACCACTCCCTGGCTGGGTGCCTTCTATTAGTAATTAATTAATTAATAAGACCCAAGAGGTTGATAGGCCTTAAACCATCACTAAACCAATTTCAAATTGAGTAGTATGTGGGATCCTTAGGAGCTGGTGTTGAAGGAGAAGATGGTGATGAAGGAGGGGGAAGGTAGTGATGATTTTACATGTATTGCTAATAAACAAATTATTGCAATGCCTTTTACTTCATCTTAACTCTTGCAAAAATATATATATGCATCTGAAATTTGAAAAAAAATGCATCATAAGTCATTATATCTAATATAATAACGCTGATTATATGTAACTTAATTAACATTCTTTAGAAAACTTAAAAGGTTTTTGCTAAAGTAAAAAACTAAATTGTATATCAGCGTTATGTAAATTATATAACACTGAATATATAATTATAAGTAATTTAAATTGAATTTGATTATTCCTTGTACATCATATAACATCAGCACCACTGTTCATTATAACCTATTAGAAACACCATATACCATTCATCCCCGAGAACAACCATGTATTACATAAATTGTAATACAATAACCATGTATTACATAAATTGTAATACAATAACCATGTATTACATAAATTGTAATACCATGTATTACATAAATTGTAATACATGGTTGCAAGTTTCCTTAACAGTTAACAAACCATGGTGTGATTGTTATACATTCTTTTCCACAGCCTGAATATTTGTTGCTCTGTTGAATCTGAAACACATATAAAATAAATTATCTGTTTGTGAATGAGCAGAATTAAATATTTTTCCAAGCAACCACTTGAAAGAAATGAAAAAGAACTGCAATATCTTTTGCCTTTAAAGCAATAGGTTAATCAAAGCATATTCAACTTCTACATTAATCCATTAAATTCATTTGAAAGAATTCTACAAATTAAGATAATTAAAAATACTGTAATAAAATTTATAAATGTTTTTTTCTACAGTACATCATATGCATAACAAAGTTGCGCACAATAGTATTTAATCTTAGAAAAAAGAAAAATATCAGAATTAAGAAATGAAAAAAGATTAATGCTATGGGATTACATCCTAAAGAAGGCCACATGCCACATCCTAGGGAGATCTCGATACAAGCCATATAATACTATATCATATATATTATTATATTCCCAGGTTTCTTGTCCCCGAAAAAGGAGAAATATATATCCCAATTGTACCTTTTTTTTACGGAAACTAGATACTATAGCAATTATGCATTCATTAATTAAGATGTTGAATAGTGAGGGGCTTAAGACTCCGCCTTGAGGAACCCCAATTCCATATTCATTGTGCTTGCAACAGAATCGTCAAATATAACATTGGCTTTCCATCTTGTAAGATAATCAAATAAAACCCTATAATATTTATATTTTTATAGCTAATATGATGTGTCTACTAGACAAAACATATAGTTTAGCAGACACGGTTAATCATCCATTTGCTCCAAAATAATTGACCTATTTACCGTACTGCTCTAAAGCCAGATAAATCAATTCAGTGGAATTAAGATAGATAAAGATAAAGATTAAGCCACCCAAAAGGTGGCACAGGCATGAATAGCCCGTAAGTGGTGGCCCTTTTGAGCCATTACCAGTATCATGAGCTGATACTGGAGATATGTGGAGGTGCGACTGCACCCTGCGCGACGGGAGATGTCTCCAGTGTCAGTGGAAGTGTTTAAAGTGCGCGGCTCCACCAAGCTTTGGAAAGTGTTAGGAGGAGAGGTTGCGTGAGGCGAGATGTGTCAGTGTGAGAGCTGGACGTGCTGGGGGAGGGTGTGCGACGCTCTCACTCAACCTGGGTAAGTACGGTACACTGGAGCTCCCCATCCCACCTTTCACTCTCACTTTATACATAAGAATGAAGGTAACTGCAGAAGGCCTATTGGCCCAGCTCCTATTTATAATCACCCAAACTCATTCATCTATATGTCTAACAGATTAAGATAGTAATTAGAGCGATGAAGATAATGTACATTGACCACAACACAGCAGTTGCAACATCAGGATCTGTAGATTGGTACAAGAATTCAACCAACTACGAACCACTTAGTTTGATGAAAGGGAGCAGTAGAACAACGGAAGTACACTTACATCGCATCAGGCTTGGATACCTATGTGCATGGGGGAATAGGTTTACAGGTTCCGGAAGATGAGAGGAAATGTCAGCACTGTGGAGAAATGCCCAACAGACCACTGGAACATTATCTAACACAGTGCACAGTTATACCCACAACAGACCACTGGAACATTATCTAAAACAGTGCACAGTTACAGCCACAACAGACCATTGGAACATTATCTAACACAGTGCACAGTTACAGCCACAACAGACCACTGGAACATTATCTAACACTGTACACAGTTACACCCACAACAGACCACTGGAACATTATCTAACACAGTGCACAGTTACAACCACAACAGACCACTGGAACATTATCTAACACAGTGCACAGTTACACACACAACAGACCACTGGAACATTATCTAACACAGTGCACAGTTACAAACCCATTAAGATTTCAACTTAGATTCAACAGAGCAGAATAATTTGTTAAACACATGGGAACAAAATCTTACTGAAGCGACCATACGAGTCATAAATACTCATACTCCGCCCAAGTAAAACAGAAACAAGCAACACTTAGTGGGCCAGCCAGAGGCTTAGGGCCCGTGCAAAAAAATCTATATGTCTAACCTACGCTTGAAACAATCAAGGGCTCCTACTCTTATTATGTTATGTGGTAATTGGTTCCAGAAAATCAACAACCCTGTTACAGAACCAGTATTTACCCAGGTCTTTCCTAAATCTAAACTTATCTAATTTATGCCCATTGGTTTGTGTTTTGTCTTGTGTTGATACTTTTAATACCATATTAATATCCCCTTTGTTATGTTCATTTATCCACAGTATCATAACACACACCGCAGCTCACAGTATCATAATAAACCTTATACCTGGGGGTCTTATCCCTACACAGTATACCCGGGGTCTTGTCCCCCCTACACAGTAAACCTTGGGTCTTATCCATACTCAGTTTACCTGGGGGGAGGGAGGCTTACCCATAAACAGTATACCTTGGAGCTCTAATATGCCTTTCATACACTTACAGCCCCGCTCCTGTGCAAGGTAAGTCTACTACGGGCTCACCGTAGCCTGTGCTACTTGAAACTTTTGTTCCCAATAGCTGAATCTAAAACAAGCACTGAGGATCGATTTTTTCCTCTGCACAGTATCTAGGGGAGAAAGTTTATCCTGCAAAGCAGTGCTCGAAGAAGGGTTTTTTCCATCATGCATATTACTATATGGAATTTTGTATATTATTATATAATAATATAACTGTATATGCCTGCGAGATTTCTTCTCTTCATGTTCAGCTGTAATTTGGAAGCCTATGAATCATCCGTGGATTTTTGTTATCATGCACAATACCTCGGGAATTTTCATCATTCATGCACAATACCTTGGGAATTTATCATTCATGCACAATACCTTGAGAATTTTCATCATTCATGCACAATACCTTTAGAATTTTCATCATTCATGCACAATACCTTGGGAATTGTCCTCATTCATGCACAATACCTTGGGAATTTTCATCATTCATGCACAATACCTTGGGAATTTTCATCATTCATGTACAATACCTTGGGAATTTTCATCATTCATGCACAATACCTTGGGAATTTTCATCATTCATGCACAATGCCTTGGGAATTTTCATCATTCATGCACAATACCTTGGGAATTTTCATCATTCATGCACAATACCTTGGGAATTTTCATCATTCATGCACAATACCTTGGGAATTTTCATCATTCATGCACAATACCTTGGGAATTTTCATCATTCATGCACAATACCTTGGGGAAAGGGGGGAGGGGTTCATTGCCCATGCACATTACCTTTTGGGGTTCTCTTTCTGCTCCGCACAGCTCACGTTTGTCCTCATATTGTACTGTGAGGTTGTCCTCATACTCAAGGCTGGGCGCAGTAGCCTCTCCACCCCGACCATCACCCCCATGAACCCTACAGTCTCTATAAGCGTGGGATTATAGGGCGAGTGTGTGACACTGTGCCCCCTTCCTGTAGCGGTTTATACTAGTCATGCAATTGTCGAGAGTGGGAGGGGGGAGATAATGGTTTTAATAGACAGCAGCAGTGTACAGGGGAAGAGATCAAAGGGGTTAAAATGACTCACGCACACACACAAGCATACTAGTTCGTGGAAATATTTTGTAATGACTGGTGGATCGGGTGTTGGGACTTATCACAAACGACTGTTGTAAAAGAGAAGCATTTAGTTCTCCCTGGCATCTGACTCCACCAAATTTGTTTAGTCTATGCCTCCTAGAATCATTGGCCTCCCTATTCCAAAAACGTTTATAATTCTTTTGTTCTAAGCTAATTTAACATGACACTTTGCAAGCTCAATTCTCAGAGTGGACTAAAGGAACATGGTTTTTGAGATACTTTTTAGAGTCCTCATTTCGTACATGCACTCGACGGCTCTTTGTTTTTAATGATAAGCTAGTTTGTTGGACTGTTTGAAAAATGATTGTTTTTGCTTATCAACTGAATCTTTATTCCGGACCTAAACATTCTTATTCTGTTTTCTGTTTAAGATTATCAGAACATGCATTATTATGTAAACATGTCCTAATTCACCACAAAGTTATTTCGGTACATTTTTTTTTTTCAGATGAAATTCTACCGTGGGTGTCCAGGTCCAAGCTATATATTAGTTACGCCAGCCTCACACTCACTCTTGAAATTTGGGAAGTACCAATAGACAAAAGTGTTAAGGCGGATTAAATGAAAACCAGAGGTTGAAACAATTAAGGCAGCTACATGTATATGGACTCCAACGACGTTAGTGTAATATAATTTCATTGATTGGTAATGTGAATGTAAACGCCTAGTGACATTGAACATGCTTCTGGCCACAGCAAGAACAACACAATATTGTCATGGACATTAGGAAAATATAACCACAATGGAGAAATGATTTTTAATATCGTGATCACTACCTCCACAGAACTTATATACAAGTAAACAAGCCTTGCTACATATTCAAGTTGAAGTAAGTTTATTGAGACAAGAAAAAAAATCTCAAAGGGATAGAGTAGCTTAGGCTATTGCTACCCCCCCCCCTACCTTGCTACATATTTATCTAAAATCAAATAAAAGTATAAGGGAAACAAATATAATATGCATGAATTAGTAACAAGCATCCGAGGGCTTAAAAGGTGATAAACATTAAATATTAAAGAGCGATTGCTCCATCGCGCTGGTTGGTGTTCCTGGCTGCAGCCATCAGAGGCTAGCGGTCAGCCAGACTGGGAACTACTCCAGCTCCACACTCCACCACCCATACAGGCACGCCAGTCCTCTCTACACTAACCATCTACAACAAGAACATTCCTCTGCACAAGATACATAACGTTGTGATGCTGGACATATTCTTTGGACTCGACAACTCGTGTGCTTCGGGACAAATGTAATATTTTTGTTAAATTATAGTGAAAGTCCTGTGTTTTCCACGGTAAACATAATTTAATGATTTTAATGAAAAATTGTGTTGTGTTAATATATTAAAACGAGTTCTGGAAAATCAATTCGACGAGTTAGTGTTATGAAAGCGTTTACGAGCAAAGAAAAGATTGCTTGTTGAGACAGTACGAAACTGGTAATTCAGTTCTTGTCGCTGCTTGTGCCCATACAACTAACATAGTCTAATTGGTCAATAAAGAGCCGTACGTGACCTTGTAGTAGTGACGAGCAAGTATAATGTTATCCAACGGCTATACAGCAGTCGCTCAGGAAGATGGTGATCACTACTATCTCAGGGAAGAGGTAAGTCCTGTGTACACGGTGAATTGTTCAAGCATGCTGGTGTGCTTCACGGAGTTCAGTGTCACAATTATTGAGTATGCTTTGTGCTTTGCCACATGAAACACTGGTTAAAAAGATAGAGGCTCATGGTATTGGGGTGCTATATTAAGTTGGATTAAGACATGGATATACCAAAGGAAACAGTATAAATGGAGTTAAGTCAGAGTGGGAAGATGATGTAAGTGGAGTGCCTCAAGGGTCTGTCTTGGGACCTCTGTTGTTTATAATATATATAAATGATAGATTCAGGTTTGAGTAGCAACATTTGCAAATTTGCCGATGATACAAAAATCGGTAGGGAAATTAACACAAAAGACTCGCTATCACTTAAAGTTGATCTAAATAGTTTTAAAATGGTCAAAAGATTGTCAGATGCAGTTTAATGCTGATAAATGTAAAGTTCCGAGGCTAGGTAATGGTTACAAGATATGAGCTAGATGGTGTTGAGATTGCAGTCTCGATTAAGATTGCGAAGTATTTATTGGTGGTTATAAATAGCTGCCTTGTATGGGCCAATAGGCCTTCTGCAGTTACCTTTGTTCTTATGTTCTTTGAGACTGCTACAGTCATGCTAACGTACGCTTTATGAATTTAAATAGGCTTACTTGGAGATTACTGTTACACCAATTTAAGGAGGTCACTTGACATGGTTTTTCATTAACCCTATGGTTAAAATTCCCAGAATTGTGCGAGAAAATTGTATGTTTACCTGTACATGCACTTCATAGTGTACACGTGGTAGGCTCCGTGCACACATCCTGCAGTTGTCAGATTTGAAACATGCTAATTCTATGTAAATTATGTATATATTGGCCTTGATCATGCTAACGTTATAGGCACACAATTAACAATTAGGTCATGCAGAGTAGTTCGCAAGAAAACTAACTTGCAGATTTTCCATTTCCATACATAACAACAAGGTAACTGCAGAAGGCCTATTGGCCTAATAGGCCTAGAAGGCCTATTTTGTTTGGTAACACGGGAACATTTAACTTGACTAACCTCGTTGGATGTAAAACCTTTTCCTGTATGAAGGTAGCCTACCACGTGTTGTACAAATTGAACATCAGTACATCCTATTTTTAGTTTTATGCGTAGTGTGGTGTGCATTCTTTATTGCCATCATGTTACACTTTAATATACGGTTCTACTGTTGACCATTGTAATGGACAATGATGCTCTGATTTTTTTAGTGTTGGTTTGGGTCATGATGCGGGCAAGGTTAAATAGGGCACAATGACGCTCACCTTGACACACTTGTTCACCTTCAAGGCTAGACCTGACTAGGGCCAGAGGACGGGTCCTAAGTAACGGTACAACCAGGCCAGCATACTGACTTTCCCTACCTTCCCGTTCTCACTTTCAATCTAACATTTAAGGGCTTGAATAACAAATCTGGTAACGTCCCGGTTTAGGCAAAACAGTTTCTATTAAATGTGACAAGGTTTGATAAAAGGAAAACGTTCTCGACTCGCATGCTAGTAACGTTCATATGCTAGTATTCTTTCATACAAATGACGTCTCATTCTAGTGCAATGTTACCCTGGGTGGTAGGAGGTTTTTACCTGATATTAAGCTCACCTTGAAGAGCAAGGAAGTGCATTTTGTAATAATTTATAGCAGTAGGTTTGCCTTGGTAAACTAAAAATATATTCGCGGAAAAACTACTCTCTAGGAAGCAAGATCCTATGCTTATACTTATTTTATAAACGGTAAAACAGCTAGTCTTACTCTAGAGAAATTGGCAAGACAATTCAAGCTTCATAACGAATAACTCCCTAGACTAGCATTGCTCTAGTTTTACGGACCATTTTTAGCCTCGCCCTGAAAAGGGACGAAACTAGGCTAGGTCTAATTTCAAACAGGGACAAAACTAGAATTGTGCGCTTGTCTATTCCCTTCAGTGAGAGATCATGCTTCCATCCTCCTAATAGAACGTCGCATTTTGACGTATATTTTACCCAAGGCCAAAAACTGCCGTTTTATATAACATTTTATATATTTTATATTTATATAAAACATTTTATATAATAAAATGTTGTGTTATTACGTCTGCGGATTGAGCAAGGCTGCTGCCAGTCACTGCTGCTTGGCTGCTCGCTCGCTGGTGGCTTGCTTCACCTTCAAAAACTGGTACATGGTTTGTATTTTAATGTATTTATAACTCCGCCGTAATCAATTTTAGTATTATCACATTTGCTTAAATAAAATAAATACCAGTATTTGCGATTAAAACTCGATTCAGTTCCTCTTTCCGACATGAAGTAGGACACCTGTTTTTTTTTGTTAGTGGGGGGGGGGGTTATTCTCTATAATACACATTAGTAATACACGACTAGTAAAATAGTTGTATATTATCGGCGTGACAAGTACACCTTGAGCAACGTGACGACAGCACGTGTGAAAGTGAGTGGGGCCACCACAGTAGGAACAAGACCAGACGCAGGCTGTTACAACGCTCTTGTTTTGTCTCCCACTGTTGAAATTTTGGTATTATTGCTGTCGTGGCTAGACCCAACGACCCCAGCATGGCGGGGCTGTTCCCCCTGATGATGAGCAGTCGACTTTGAGTGACTCTTGGGGGGGGGGGGGAAATATAAACAGAGTGTTTAATATTAGTACCAATCAAGATCACCAAATTGCCCAAAAGATTGTGGAATAGGCTCCCAGAGAAACACAATCTGGAACCTGCTTGACTTGGCCAGTTGCTTGGCCTGGTGCCCGGGAAAAAACTACCAAATGTGTGTAAAGGTAGATGCAAACTCGCCACACACGCACAGAAAATGCTTGGTAAGTATGGCTACTGCAATGTCTATGGATATCTTCTTTGCCAGACATTAAAGAAGAGTACCCAGTGGCTTGTTCTTACAACATCGCAGTGGATCTTCCTTACCAACTTTGGCTCAGTGGCGACTTTTGATAGTTGGGAGTATTTTCTTCTTGATTTACTCAATCTGAAAAACCTGGAGGTATTTTAACTCTACATTGGAAGTATTTGACCCTACACATACTGTGTATTTGTACTGAGAAAGTAGAACTGATAGAGACATGCAGCCCAGAGTTGCTTGTTAGATGGGTGGTAGTGAGTCAGAGCAAGTATAATTGCCGAGGAGAGATGGTTGTGGCAGCCCGGGCCGCCGACAGTGTAGTCTAGTGGAATTTCACCGTTTCCTGAAGTCTTAAGATGATACAACTGAGCCCCGAAGCAGTACAAGTATTGATGTAAGAAAATAACTAAAATTATATACTAGTTGTTAGGTGTTTTAATAAGATAAATTAGACTGCTTGTAACTAGCCACGTTGAGGCTTTTATATATACAATACTGCGCTCACATAGTTCTCAATTATGTGATTTTTAAAGTGGATGTAAGCGCTAACAGACTATTATCAAGCTACTGCCCAGAATAAATTAATGCAATGATCTCAGTTTATCGTAATTGTGTCGTACTTAGTTTGAAATTATTTAATTTAAAGTCTAACCCATTCCATTTAATTAAAACTCGAACACTGAAGTTCTTCTTGATGTCTTTCCGGCGCCTCCAGCCTCACCATAGGTCTGTGCACCTGTTTAAATATTCAACTTAGCCTTTGTCGACCGTCAGATCTTTCTTATTTGTAGGCTGTATTGTTTCTTCTGCGTGGCAAGACGTGGCTTCCTCAGCCGTTCACTACACCTCGAGACTCCTCATTTCCTGAACAAGTATTATATATTAGACTATATTTAGTTCATTTGTATACTTTTTTCTGCTAATGTTACACGCCAGAGCTGAATACTAGAGGGGCGACTCTCAAAGTTGTATTGTGTGTGCTGAAGGATATTGTCAGTATAATACTGTACAGGTGTATAAGCATGCTTTGGATTTTTAATTTTAGAAATCCGGAATTTTTAAATTGAGTGTTCGCTAACAATTGTGTAATAATAATTTTAATATAGAATGGCTTTCTTTCTAATGGATACGGCAAAGTGTCTGATATTCCAATACCTATGAACCTTCTCTTAAAAAGTCAGATACGTAGACCATACGCAGCCTGTTCAAACCATTTTACATGCATTATATTTGAAGAGGGTTTTGCCTAATTGGAAGCGTTCGAATTTGTGCAACACACCTGCCCTATAGAAGATTCTTCATACTATTTAGAAAGCGTCAGTATTACGCTGTGGTCTTACGGGCTATTCACGCCCGTGCCACCTCTTGGGTGGCTTAATCTTCTTTCATTTACGCCGTGGTTAAAAGAGTAAGAATTGATGTGCATTAAATGGAGACCTGCTGCTGCTACATGAGCACTGTTGAGACGACTATGGGGCTGAATACTGCACTTACACAAAACACCACCGAGATTATTATTCTTAATTATAAACACGCCAAATATAAGTTGACATTTTCACCTGAAAACAATCCTACGCTACAGGAAAATTACTTCGATTTGTTTCATAACTGCTCCACCACTCAAATATTGTAGATGAGATATACCTTCATGTAGTTGACAACTAATAACAAAGCTAGTTTAAGGGGTGAAGCGCATGTTGAGAATGGTTTGAGGTTTGTGTTAGGATGCCAGTGTGTGTGATTTCATAACACCTCTGACCTTTGCTGAGGAACAAGTACACACACAACAGCTCGTTAGTGTTAAGGCCAAGACAGAAACTGGTGAAGGAAAACTTCTATGTGAGGAGCACCAGGGTGTTGATGGTAGACTTAGCAGCAGTGTTAGGTCAGCTGTGGTAGGTTCCTCACCGAGCTAATTACTCATTTTCCTTCCACGTTCTAAACCACACATCATGGCCATCCGTACGTGTAATACGGACATTGTGGTCATAAAATATTTAGTGTACAGTATAATATGTACAAGCAGACAGACAGACGGATGCGAGCGCTCACTGAAGACAAGTCACAGCCTAGTGACTGTCGCCTCGCCCTGCATTTTAAATTATTAACATGCAGTTACCATGTTATCTTAAT